ATTTATTCTTACATGGATTACATAATGATAAATTTAAAGACAAATGAAAAAATCCAAGTGGAAGCATTAGCTTGATAAATATCTAAATAAAAAGTGTACTTTCATCTGGTACGGTAATGTGAATTCCAATAGAGAGTTAGAGAGTTAAAGCACAAACAAATGATTTTGTTAAGTTTGATCAATTAAGTCCTTTATAGATAAGATACCATCGAATCCGAATCCAACCATTCAGTTCATAAATGTGGTACTGTATTCTCAGATTTCTTGCAAATGTGAAAGTGTCCTGTCCTAAACTAAAAGGGGACGGGACATACATTTGCAAGAAATCTGAAAATACAGTAACAAATATATCAATACCCAAACCCCCTAAAAAATCAACCCCAGCCCAATAATTGTCTCAAGAAGTTTAAAGCCCATTCAGTTGTTTAGGATAACTGATTGACAGCATTATTTTAATACTTTATTTGTTAAGTTTGAGGTAGTGCGTTTTTTTTTTTCAATTACTAGTATTTTATACTTTAGTAACACTAAATATGACACATATTCATTTTCAAAGTTCATACTATTATAAGTATGTGGCGCCTGTCTTCATCATACAAAAATTACAGGATCAAATTAGCGAACATTTTTAACAATGATAGCAACTGTATAGATCAAAAATCAAAGCAACTCAATAAAAACACAAAGATAGCTTATTAATTGATCCATTAATGTAAGGCAACAAAAAGAAATCCCCCCATACATTAAATTTGCTCTATTTACAATTTTGAATTTTATATGGTTAATTTATTCTATGCAGCTAAGTCAAAGTAAGCCAGAGATTAGTATGAGCTTCTATAGTCAATGTTAGGGCAATGTTCACACTGGTAAAAATAAATCAAGGTCAACTTTGGTCACATTCGTATGAAAAAAAATATGCTAAGAAACATATCTGCACCACTACGATGATTCTTTAGGTTAAACTGGATGATTCCCATCATACCTTACCAGATGAAAGTGAACTCGGTTGTTAAATATCAGATTAATGCTAAATAATGTTACACAGACAGAAACATTAGGTAATAAGAATTGATAACAGCGCCTTAGGCAGAACAAGATTGTCATTACCCACACGCTAATGTAATACTAACAAGAATACTCAGTAATAAGCGTAACCAGCCAACAACAATGTGACAACATATCATATACTCGGTTACACTGACTCGGTTTTGTGTATATGACTCGGTTACATATACTCGGTTTTCAGATGGTTTGTATAGTAAAACCATAGATAAAACATACTCCCTTAGTGGATTTCTCACCCTTATGGAACAGCTGAAGCCAATTTTATTGTTAGTTCTGTCCAGTTCACTGTAGAGGCCATGTTTTGTTTAGAATTCGTTTCTTGTTATTTCGGTAATTTAAAACCTCATTTAACCAAATAAAACAATCTAATCATCAACAATAACTTGTCCAGTTATGTAACCAAACAGTAAAGCAAAAATCATGAAATTTACTCTAAAATAATAGAAACAAAATTTATTGACACTAGCGCCCAGTGTCACCGGACATGAACTAGACATGAAAAATTAGCTTCAAAATTTGATGAGAAGTCTAGTTTTGTTGGTTAGTCTATGGTAAAACCCGATTATCTGGCATCCAATAGTCTCTCGCACATTTAAAAATGTTTTTTTTTTTACTCAGAATATATTTTTGAACAAATGGGGCGGATTTGTGCAGAGTTTTGTGCAATTGGCTGAGGTTGGGGGTACTTGAGGGAGATGTAATAGGCCGGAATTTGTTAACTCTTAACTCAACTGTTAACTCCGTTAACCTTTTGGCTCTCAGTTTTAGCAGTATCAACAGCTTTTAAGAATGAGGGACTACCAAACTCGTGTCACTTAGTGGTTAACTTGTAACCCCTATTAAAAAAAAGTTTTGCCATTTTCCCTAGGAATTTTGTCAGATTTGGTCCTTACACACCTCAATAAGTAATACAGCCAGAACATTTAGAATCATAGAATAAATAAAAAAACATGCACTTTTATAAAGTCTCTAAAAAAATTACTTAAACCCCAAAGGTTTTTGAAATTTGGTTGCATCAGCATCCAACATCAAAGTTCTGTGTTTGATGTTTTTATGTTGTCACAAAACTCAAGCTGGCTGTCTTCCCTATCTACATATAGATTACGTCCCTAGTTATGTTATTGATAACTTACCTTACAGACTAGTTAACGTTAACAAGAAGTAGAAAAAGCAACCACCTCAGTAGGATATGAAAGTCGAGACAGAATAGGTGTTCTGTCGTTTTGATAAATCATATACACAGTAATGAAGACGTTACGAGAACTAGAAAATAAGCAGAGTAAAAGTTAATGAACGAAAGCATCTCTTATGCCTACCATTAAGGTTGAGAAATATAAATAACCAAGTCTTAAAGTAAAACTAGCTAAAGTAATGAAAACAATTGATGCACATGTTGAAGTACATACAAAACACTATCTAATCATTTAATTTAAGAAATAAAAAATAAAACAGAAGCCTAATATCCAAACAATGACTTACAGTAACAAAATTCACAAACATTTTGCTTCAGGCATTAAAAATGTACTTAATTTTAAAAGTTACAGTATTTTCTCTTACATAGTCAACTTTATACACTACGATAGTTTTACAATCTTTTTTCTGAAAAATATCTTAACTGTACACTCGATTAACACTCAAGTTGAAAAAAACCACAAGACTAAATAAACAAAATCAAACTTGGGTGGATGCCACATGTAATATTTGTGTAGTAAAATATTTTATCCGAACAGAACCAATACTGATTTATTTTACATTTAAAACTATTTACCCTATTTACATTCAAGTTCCAGTGATTATTTTAAGCTAGTATTAGAATTGCAAAGAGTTCCAAAAAAGTGATCCCGTCATCAAAACCCTTGGCGCGACTAGCGCACCATTGCTTTCGGTTTAGAATATTAATCAACTCTTACAAGTACCAACCTTCCTTTCTTTGGTAGAAAACGCAAAAGTATTTGAATAGTTATAGTAGAGTAGTTCGATGAGAAATAATCAATGAGGAGCGATAAGAAGCAAACTATGCGGATTGTATCTAGCGAGTATTGAGAAGGCGATAACTACTAACAAGTTTAGGTAAAAAATAGTTAACAGAGACAAAACTGAGCAAACGTGAATGCGTTGTTCAGTAGAAGAGGCCACAAGGTTACAGCACCATGGGAAAACAAACAATCCTATACAACTAGTAGTCAGTAAATGTTGTGTATAAAGCAAAACATTCGAAAGCCTGAGAAACCTACATCAGATCTTGATGAATATCATGATTGACAAATCGATTGAAGTGAACAAATAATGATACATCTAGTTCGATACAAATATATGTATAAAAAATGTAATTGAAATACGTTGAAACAGCTCGGACCTTTGATTTGGACCCGGAATAAACAAACAGTCAACAGTTCGATACATTTCATACAAAACTAAAATGGACACAAATACACTGAATGTAAAAATGAGATCAAAACAGTCTAGTTATAGTGCTAAGTTTAAATTGAAATAGTTGTTGAAGTTTGTACAATTTACAGTAATAACTAAAGAAGTAATGTTAAAAAGAGATACTATTTTAACTGTTGTTGTTCAGCTCTTGATTTAATACAGAGTAATTTAAATGTGCAACATTTACTAGCATTATTAGAAAAATAAAACCAATAGATAAGTTATGAGATCATAAAAAAAACAAATTACAATACACACAAACTATTACTTATTTTTTAAAACACTAGTTAAATAAAGTCTCACAAAATAAAGCAAATATTACTTCAAGTTAATTTGTAATACATTGTTTCTTTTACTTATTTGCTTTTGATGAGGATATAGTAAATTCAAAGGGGGTTGTCCCAAAAGAAAAAAAAAAACAAGAAATAGTTAACTAAATTTAAATTTCAGTGCTATTAATCTATGTAACAAAATTATAAAAACAATCTTTGTCTTTTTGTGTAGGTATACTTATACTATTGTGATACAGATGAAAGACTCATAATATGTGTCCATTTCCACATTGTAAAGGCATAAATAAATTAACCTAAAAAATGAATATAAAAAAAACTAAACATTTTCTGTTGAATTTCATAGAAGCATACTTTAGCAATTTATTACATACATTACCAACTATAAGAGAATTATTTACACAAATATTGCTATACATTGTTTTTTGAACTTTAACAAACCATGTGACTATCATCATTCCATGAACTTAAATACCTTTCCTTTTTGTCATACTGCAGCAAAAACAGGCATTTTTAATGCATGCGTTGCAGGTCTAAAGTAGCATTTTTACTCTCTCTAGTGAGTAAAAATCAGCTGTTGTAAACAGTTGTAAATTTCGATTGTGGAAATCGTATCGATCGAAATAATTTATCGATTGATTTATAAGGTAAGGTATAAAGCCTATTGTTGTCGATTGCTCGACATAATAACAATCGTAACAGACGAAATAATTGAATCACTTACTAAACAGCTGCTTATTTGCATTAGCAGAATTGGAAGTAAGCAGGAAGTCGTTTTGAGAGGCAAATTATTTCATTTTCTAGTTTTATTTTTGGTAATTAATGATGCAATATAACGAAAAATATAGTCCACCACACGGGCAAAAAGTGATTTTTAACCCTCGCTCATTTTCCGACCTCGGCTTCGCCTAGATTGTAAAACTTGACCTCAGGTCAAAAAGAGTCACCTTTAGGAGTGATGAAATATACTATTCTTCAAACAGTAAACCATCTTCTGCATCTAAAAATATTAAAATGACTCCTTATCATCAGCTAAATTTAAATATCCAAAGTATAGTCTATGTTGAAAATAATGAGGATATTTAAACAAGGATAGTTCTTTTTTAAAGTTGCAAAAAGTTTTCACCTTAGATTCAAGTTTAGTTATTTATGCCTTTAAGTATAAATATTCGTATAGATCAAAAACATAAACTATAGTAATGTAAACAGACAATATTCTTGTAACACATAAACAATGTATATAAAACGTAAAAACAAATTTAACATTGAAATTTAGCACCTCTTATTGCACAGGTTTAAAACATAAATTAACGTTGTTTGTTCACAAAACAAACAAATTATATACAGCAAACATAACTGAGATTCTTAAGCGTACCTAAAATACGAACTAAACAGTCTAATAAAGTATTTTTCAAACAAATTTGATTTGTTTTAAACTAAGCCAACAAAATAGAGAGATTGTCGGTCGGTGTTAAGAATCTGCAAAGCAGGTCGTTGTCAACCTAGAACATAAATATTTATTTTGTTTCTAAATAATATAAATATATCATTAAGTGCTTGTATTGGTCTAAGTTTGTTTCAAATACACATTTTATACAATGGGGATCTTGCATGAATCACCATCTTGTGTTTTGGCAACCCTCTATTTGTATTGATTCGATTGCTGTTTTCTTTAAGGATTTTAAAATCTACTACTCTACAGTTCTCTGTGTCGTTTTTCTGTTGTGTTTTTCCTGCTTTGGCTGGGTTTATGTACTAATATTGTTAAATTTAGCTACTTTCTCTTCTATGAAAACAAGAGTCAGATTCCAAATCCCAGAAAAATCGTGCTTGCTTGAAAAAAAATCTCTATGGACAATGTTTGACTCTAATAATTCATGTACAGAGAATGACTACTATAATTGACTATTGGATACGGAAGTAGACATCCCATCTTTATGGATCAGCTGTTGCCAAGTTTTTATTAAAAAGATTGTAAATGTGTGAGCCTGTCACAGAATGCGCTAGTGTCTAAAGTTCGATTTTATACCTTATTTTTTGTTGCGGACCAGGTTGATGGGTCATAACAGTTGCTATAGCTCACCATAAGTTTTTCCCTAAGTTTGACTTGGTTAAAAAGTTTGTGAATTTGACAGAATTTAGCAATTTAGATCAGCGCAATCGCAATTTAGATCAGTGCAATTGCAATCTGTCGGTGGCTCACATCAACTACAATAATTTTGATAAATAATCTGGATACAAAATTAACATGGGGGTGGAATGTCTTGTTTTATTAATAGTCAAAGCTACTATAAAAGTTCTCAATGTGGGGGTTCCCTTTTGATTTTTTAGCTTTGGCTAATGTTTTTTTTATAGTAATCTTGATATGTTTCAAGTACTTCCAGATTTCAGATCCTGTTCTAATAATTATAGAAAATGTCTGCACAGTTGATCAAATAACAAAATATATTATTATTGATTTTTTTAAAGGGATGGAGTTCAGTTAGCTTATCACAGAAAATTAAGAGTCAATGGGACAATAGATAGACAATAAAAGTTCATAAAACATAGAACTTTTGTATACTACCTCCTGGAGTCAATTTGTTTAGGTAAGCAAGCAAAACTATCTCTTTTCTTCACTTTTTGACCAAAATATTATTTTCGATTTTAGAAGAAAATGGGTTAGTTTTGTCTTCAGTTGTGATGCCTCACCTGCTTACACACTCCGAGATCACATGTTGAGCTCCTTGATGGCCTGTAGGATGCGCTTGACATGTCCGACCTTGGTGACGCCGAGGTCCTTGAGGTCGCGCCGTGTCAACGTCAAAAGCTCTCGGCCGCGTATGTCGTTTGCCTGGAACGTCTCTGCGTACTCGGACAGTTGTAGTGACTCAAGCCAAGTGCATACTTCCGCCACCCCCCACCCTGCCACCTGTCACAAACATTAGATCTGTTACATACTTGGAAACTGCTTAACGGTTCCGTTACTAGTAATAGTAGGAACAATAATCTTACAAAGCCAAACTAACACATCAAAGTTGTAACAAAAAATAATCAATTAAATACCAGAGCTTTGTCGGGATCAGGTACAGTCAATCGAGGTAGTTCAAATCTAGAACTAAAATCGTGTTCTTAACTTGGTCTACTACTATTCTAGCTACAGTTCCTACACTATGGACAATTAATCTCGTCGTAGTAGCCAAAAAAGGGAAAGTTTTCTAGTATGAATCGTGTTCTGTGTATTACCTTCCACTGAGAAAGGTTGATAAGTGTTGCCAGTTGGCAGGTGTGTATGCAAAAAAATGTTTTGACTTGGACATAGGAAATGTGAAGTGAGTTAGGGAGTTCGCAGAAGACTGTAAACGGGCCGGCAGCAAGTGTTCATTAGTTTCCATAGAGACAGTGATTGAATTTTAGGAAACTTTGCTTGCTGATCGGCGTGTCCAAGACTTGCAAAGCTTACAGTCCTTGATAGTCTACTAGAGACAAGTCCTAGACACCTAATATTTTCCATTCCACACTGCGATCCACATGCAAAAATTTCCTAACTTTGGTCACTGCTCTAATTACAACTAAGTGGTGAACAACAGCTGTTGTACTACATATCATGTAAATTATCACAATTCAACCTCCACTCTACCCTTCCAACACATTTCATACTTCCAAACACTTTTACTCCTTTTAAGTCCATCAACTGGGATTGGACTTTTAATCATGGTTGATGACCGAGACCTCACAAATATAAATGCAGAATGAAACGTACACTTGGCAGGTACAACTGGAAGTGCACTGAATGAGGGAATTCCGAGACACAGGCCGCAATTTGAACAAGGGAATGAAGTAAATTGTAGGATTACTCAGTATAGTGCTCGCCTAAAATTCTAAAGGTTGCCGAATTGATCCTGAGAAAAGTCAGTCGCTTTTTGACGGTTCAAAACTGGACCCAGATGTCCTTGATTTTTGGGCTTTAAATAAATGATTCTTACTAATGATAAAGCTGAGCAGGAGCATCAATTTTCTTTACAATTTTTTCATATATATGATGAGACTAATCGCCCCACAGGGGTGTGAAAGGGAGTTTCAAAATAGGCTAGAATAGAACAGTAGCGTAAAGAATGTCAGGATTTTATATTTGAGCATTTATTTTGAGCTTGCTTGGCTGTGACTGGAGTTCGATGGAGAGCTTAATTTACGGACAGCCCTCTTATAATAGCATGAGAAATTACAGTCAAAAGAAGGACACAGCCATCCTTTTCATTAAAGGAAAAAAGTTAAAAAAATCTGATTATAACTTACCTCACGACTGGCTCCACCCCTAGACTTCTCTCTTCTCAGCTTCCAAAACAATCCTTTCCCTCCAGCAGACCGTTTCTTCTCCTACAACCAGTAACACTGTTTAAAAAAATGTCTACACCTCAAGTAACTAATTTTTATATTTAAGATAAGCCAATGATGCTTACCCAAAAGTCGTATAGGATAAAAAGAAACTTAATGGGCAATTAAGGATTTCTAGTATACACCAGAGGTTAAGTATTTGCAAGAAGATGACTGCTCTGTAAAAAATTGGTCCTACGTAGATAAAAAAAAAATCAAGTATACACATAGAAACAACTAAAAATGGTTTCTCTTGCACTTTGGAAAACCATCAGTTTCCATCCTTCATTTGCGCATGAAAAACTTTAATAGTGGCAGTCCTATTCTTGAAAAGATCCCAAGGCCCTAAAACTCTAGAATTGTAGATTTCTACAACACATGGCTAACAAAGAATTGTACCCCATGCAAGTTATGTAAAACAAATCACAGAGCCTTGGACAGCCCAAGCTCTTTAGGGCATGAAAATTCAGTTTTCTATCAACGAATCCAACTGGAAATTGGAATCAAAATGAATTGGACTTACAGACTCTTAAACAATATTTTACTTTCCAACCTGATCATCTGCTGTGGGTTGTTGGAAGCACACATACGAATGGCTCGAGTCTTGCGAAGTTGTCACTCTGCAGTGTTGAAACTCTGCTTCCATCCCCGTCAACATCAGATTCAGCTGATTGGCCAAATCCTCTCTCTGTAACAGTAAACAGCTGTTGGATCAAGGAATATTAGGATGGATCCTCTGAACTAGAATTTCAACTGAAGGCAGTACTGACACGACAATTGTGCTAGAAATTTGAGATGCTGTGATTTTGATAGGTCATGATTTTCTGTATGTACAATCCCCCAATCTCCAAGTTCAAATGTATTATGATTTTAAACTGAGATAGGAACGCCGGTAATTATATCGATCACGGACGTGTCGCTAAAAAAAATTTGTTTCACTATTCTTATGCTAAATTACGTCCTGAATTCAAAAATGATTGTCATTTTCGTCGGAAAAGCACCGTTTACCCGGAAAAACGGAAAAAACAAAAATTTGTTGAAATGGGTCATGTGTATACTCAAATTAACCGGTAAAGCGAGCTGAACAAGAATATGCAAAAAATTTCAAGATCCAATTAATATTAACGGAGATACGGCCGAAAAAGCGCGGCCGGAAAAGTTCATTAGTCACAGGAACAACGGCATCAGGAGGATCCGTAGGTGCTGCTGTCTGTGGGAGCGATTTAGAGGTTATTTGGTGAATATATATTCTTTATACCCTTGATTATATTAGGTTAGGTTGGGTTGGGTTAGGTTAGGTTAGGTTAGGTTACGTTAGGTTAAGTTAGGTTAGGTTATACAACCTAATCTAACCTAACTTATCCTAACCTAACCTAACCTAACCCACCCTAACGTAACCTAACCTAACTTAACCTAACCTAACCTAACCTTTTTTTGCCATTTTGATGCTAACTCGATTTACCGACGCTTTTCCTCCCGTATCTCCGTTAATAGTAATCGGATCTTGAAAAATCTTGCATATTCTTGTTCAGTTCACTCTACCGGTTAATTTGAGTATACACATGACTCATTTCCGCAAAAATTGGTTTTTTTGTTTTTTCCGGGGAAACCGCGCTTTTTCGGCCGTATCTCCATTAATATTAATCGGATCTTGAAATTTTTTTCATATTCATGTTCAGCTCGCTTTACCGGTTAATTGGAGTATACACATGACCAATTTCCGCGAAATTTTTGTTTTTTCTGCTTTACCGGGAAAACGGTGCTTTTGCGACGAAAATGACAATCATTTTTGAATTCAGGACGTAATTTAGCATAAGAAATGTGAACAAAAACAAAAACGTTTTTAGTGGCACGTCCGTGATCGATATAATTACCGTAACGCCACCCATGTGCGTATTTTAACCCAAATATGAATGAAGGATGGAGTGAGATGATATGTCTAGCATTTTTACTGACTAATTATCTTTCTGTAAGGATAATTTATTTAAAGCCCAAAAATCAGGGACAGCTGGGTCCAGTTTTGAACCGTCAAAAAGCGACTGACTTTTCTCAGGATCAATTCGGCAACCTTTTGATTGGTAGGCGAGCATTATACTAAGTAGGCCCACAATGTACTTCATCCCCTTGTTCAAATTGCAGCCTGTGTCTAGCAATTCTCTCGTTCATTACTACATCCAGTCAGCTTTGATCCTGTTGAAATACTGACAGCAATAAACAAAGAAGGGGAAAACTTATTGACTTGCAAAAACATGTGACACTGTAAATCTATATATATAAAAGGCAAAGCCCTCACTGACTGACTGACTCACTCACTCACTCATCACTAATTCTCCCACTTCCCACTTACCTAGGAGGCTGAAATTTGGTACACTGATTCTTTAGGCATTAAATAGGAAAACTAAGTGGTTTTTATTCTAATCTGACTCTCGGGCTCCGCCCCAGTGGCTCTGGAGTTTCCCATGTTAACCTAATGAGTACCCATATTTAAATGGAATTAATGAATCATAACAGCTGTTTCAATTAAACAAGTTGGTTCTGTTCTATGATGTTCAATAATATTAAAGTTACAAGGATTACCAACAGAGTGCAGCACTATTATTTTTTTTTATATTTTACAACAGCTAATATGAAACCAGAAGGTGAGTGAGCGTAGCGAACGAACTTCAACTCGGAGGCGAGGTAGCGTAGCAAACGAGCTAACCTGAAGGCAAGTGAGCGCAGCGAACGAGCTCCAACCGTAAAGGTGAGTGAGCGTAGTGAACGAACTTCAACCAGGACGTGGTTGAGCCATGCGAACGAGCTCACATATGAAGTTAAACGGGGCAAAGCCCACGGGTACAGCTAGTATTCTATATATGCATGTGTTTCTTGAGCCACGGTAGATTCTTTCCCATCCAAATCTCTGTTCTAATAAAAATTCTAAACCTAGGTCCTTATTCTCTATGTTATATGTTTTGGTAAAATATGTTCAATTATTTGCACTATATCCTAATGTCCAAAAATATATATTCTTAAGGGCCTATGCCATTTTGTAAAAATTGTTAAATGGAAGCAGTCAAACCTTTAAATTTCTTTTGGTCATGCCAGGGAAACCCAATACTCTCTTACCGAAGTTCGTGGCACCGACCACTTGAACCAACCCATTTCTTTCATACTAGAATAATTTAATCTAATCTGGAAATTAATCATAATTGTTGGTTTAATTTGGACAACTCGGAACTTCGATTAGCCTAGATTAATGAGGGTTTACTAATGGCTTACCAAGTCCTGACCCTTGTCTCGTAGCAAGATGCAAGTCTCTTCGTGGAGTTCACGGGCACTGGAGACCAGCTCCGTGACCAAAGGCCTCAACTCCACCTGACAACAGGGATATGCAGGAGTTGAAACACAACTTACATCAAATATGTAGTCACTTTATACAATGGTATTACACAAGAGTATTGCTAATCTAATCTTTAGCTATTTGTCCTTCCCTCCGTACAAGCGCCAATAAATTATGTGCAATTTGTTGTGGGACAAAATTGTACATTGTGTTGTGCATAGCTGAACCTTTTTAGTAAATAAGGCAAACTTAAATTCATTAAATTCTTACATAGTTGGAAAGGTAAACAAATCTCTAATATAAACAAGTAAATAAAAACATCAGCTGGTAATTATAAACAGTAATTCATAACACATTGTAGCAGATCTGTACAACTCTGTCAAAACAACCTCTTTTTGTCACTCCCAACTGTACTCGGAAGACAGCTTGACTATACTTTCTGATTGTTTTAGGGTGCTGATGGTTTTAGGGGGGGGGGGGGGGTTAGGGTACTGCATAAAAATAACAGTTTGTCCGCTCCTCATACCTGCACACCTTTCAAGTCTTTTTTGTGGTGCAATTGGAAAACCTTTTGTTATATGAACCTGTTTTGCTTTATTGGGATATTTAACAGTTTCAGTAGTGGTTTTTAACTATTTGCAACATTTTCTTTCACTAATGTTTAACACTTTTATACATTTTGATAAAGGTGTCAATGAGTAAAGGCTCACCACCACTATCACTAGCACCAGAATCAGAATAATCTGACATTCACACCTTTTATTTACTTGAACGTTTAATTATTTTGTTTGAGTGAGAAGTTGAGACTATAGTTATTTGTGCAACTACTGAGAAAAGTGAGCAATTGACTCACTCGAGAGAAATCCTTACTCACGAGCCGTAGGCGAGTGAGGAATGGTTTCTCGAGCGAGGCAATTGTACTTTGAACTGCACTGTACTTTGAGTTGCACATTATACTTTTCCTACAGTTACCATAAAACAAATAAATTTGTGAAGAAACATAACCTATTTTTACACAGAAGTGAACTTTTAATATAACATTTAATGTGAAGTGACAAATACAACAGTACAACAGCTGACCAGCTGATTTACAGCCAGTGCTGCCAACGTATTTCACGCGCATACGACGTTGCCTTCATGTTTCGCGCTCACTATTTCGTGCCTTCACGTTGCAAATCTGGAGTGAGACAAAGTAATTAGAGTGAGACAATGTTCACATTGTCTCACTGATGAGCGAATTGGCCACTTTGCTTTCTCAAATCAGTGAGAGAACATGTACATTGTTAGGTAACTGTAGGAAAAACTAATTACCCTGTGAAAACCCCATCATAAAGACAGTGTGAACAAGAACGAGTCCCACACAGGCCATTGTGTGCTAGCTGTATCAATACAACCCTGTTCATACATTTATGTTTCTATACATCAGCTGAAAGTATGGCAGTTGTCTAGATAGACTATTAGTGCAGTAAAAATAAGAGAAAAATTCCATGAACCTAAAAAAAATTAGCACAACCGGGGAATTTGGTACAGATGTTGGGTGTACCTTCCTTTTGAACATACTAAAAGTCCCCTAAAATTGAAGCTGTGCTACGGCCGCCATATTGGAAAATGGCGGCATATTTCTGTATTTTTCGCTATAGTGACTTTATTATTAGAGATACAGGAAAAAGCTAAATGTACAAAATGTAGGTCATCTAAAAATACACATTTTTTGTATTTACCATCTTTCTCTAAACCCAACGGTTTTTGAGTTATTTGTTGTTAAGTATAATTAGTTATTTCTATTTATCAAAAATAGGTGAAACACATGGAAATTGACCGTTACTTTCAAGGATTATGATAATTTATCCCATTTAGTTAAATAGTGTGATACTATAAAATCTTAAAATTTAAGCTTATTTTATGAGTAAAACAACTCTGCCACAGCAAACCTGCAGACTCAGCAAATTTCCATTTGATTGGATGTTTTATTAATTGTATTTAAATAAAATTAGATTCAACAGGTATCTAGGTTTGCTGCTACAGGTAGGTTATTATAGTGTGTTTTTTTTAGTAAAATATCAATAACTTAGTATAAAATAATTAATTTTCCAAGTTTGATCATAATAAATCTATAAACAAACAAACTGCAACAGTTAACTAATTCATAATAATAGCATGGTAGCTTAAGATTTACAATTTACAAATTTAAATATACAAATTTTGGTTGTGTTTATAAAAAATATGGCGATTATTCGTCACGATTCGAATACTAACCGAAGAGGTTTTCAAAACGAGATGAAGCAAGTAATTTAAGTACTGTAATATTAACTCGTACCAAGTATCGGAAATATTGTATGCAGTGAGGGAATCAACCATATTTTGTAAACTACGCAATAGTCATATTAATATTTTATACTAATTTTTACCCATTTAATAAATTAACATTTTAATATTTTGAAGGCACTACCATTATCACTCTGATATCAACTAAGTGGGATGAATAATTGTCGTAAACCTTGAAAGTAACCGTCGATTGCGATGGGTTTCACCGATTTTTGATAAATAAAACTAACTATACTATACCATACTTAATTAGTCACCAACATGAACTAGACACGAAAAACACCCTTCCAAATTTACAATGGGATGTCAAGTATAGGTAGTTAGTGTGGTGGTGCCATCAAAATACTAAAATGTTAACTATTAAATGGGTAAAAAATGAAGATAAAATATTAATATGACTATTGCGTACTTTACAAAATATGGTAGATTACCTTACTGCATACAATATTTTCGGTGCTTGGTACGAATTAATATTATACTTAAATAACAGGCTCCATCTCCTTTTGAAACCCCATTTGGTTAATATTCTAATCGTGACGAATAATCGCCATCTTTTTAGTAAACACAACCAAAATTTGTATATTCAAATTTGTTTATTGTAAATTTAAAACTCCCATGCTATTCTTATGAATTAGTTAACTGTTGCAGTTTGCTTGTTTATAGATATATTTTGATCAAAATTGGAAAAATAGTTAGGTAGTAAGGTATTGATATTTTACTAAAAAAAACACACTATAATAACCTACCTGTAGCAGCAAACCTAGGTACCTGTTGAAACTAATTTTATTTATACAGGGTGAATTTTAAATGAGTTCCCCCCCTACTTTTTTCTACATTTCTTAAGATATCATCTCCGGACCACGTCAAATCATTGTTGAGTAGTAAGTACTTCATTTTGACTGGGTATACATTTTTGGCCGCCATCTTGGATCCGCCATATTGGATACAAAGTTTTTTTTTCAAATGTAAAGGTAGGGTTGTGACCCATTATTTCAAACTAGAATTTTACGCCGATTACAATGCCGCAATTAGTTTTTAAAAATCTCGATTCGTTCTAAAGTTATGAGGACTTTTTATAACTTTATTTTTAGCCCATTTTAACATTGTGTATTAACAAACTAAGACCATAATCTCAAAATAGTGCTAGATAAAGATAAGTATACACCACCATTCATTGTCGACATATTTTCACTTGGTTATGACGGATGTAGTTTTTTCAGCCGCCATCTTGGATCCGCCATTTTGAAATGTGATCAATTAATTTAAATATGAAGGTGGTGTTGTGACCCATCATTTTGAACTACTTTTTTATACTGGACTCAATGCTGCAATCCGTTTTTGGTTATCAAGCTTTCATGATGAAATATTAAAATACTCTTATTTAAAATTTCAATATTTCAAAATCCAAAGATGCAAATGAAAAACGGATTGCGGCATTGAGTTCAGCATAAAAAAGTACCTCAAAATGATGGGTCACAACACCACCTTCATATTTAAATTAATTGATCACATTTCAAAATGGCGGATCCAAGATGGCGGCTGAAAAAACTACATCCGTCATAACCAAGTGAAAATATGTCGACAATGAATGGTGGTGTATACTTATCTTTATCTAGCACTATTTTGAGATTATGGTCTTAGTTTGTAAATGCACAATGTTAAAATGCGCTAAAAATAAAGTTATAAAAAGTCCTCATAACTTTAGAAGGAACCGAGAGTTTTAAAAACTAATTGCGGCATTGTAATCAGCGTAAAATTCTAGTTTGAAATAATGGGTTACAACCCTACCTTTACATTTGAAAAAAAAACTTTGTATCCAATATGGCGGATCCAAGATGACGGCCAAAAATGTATACCCAGTCAAAATGAAGTACTTACTACTAAACAATGATCTGACGTGGTCCGGAGATGATATCTTAAGAAATGTAGAAAAAAGTAGGGGGGGAACTCATTTAAAATTCACCCTGTATACATTTTTTAATAAAACATCCAATCAAATGGAAATTTGCTGAGTCTGCACGTTTGCTGTGGCGGAGTTGTTTTACTCATAAAATAAGCTTAAATTTTTAGATTTTATAGTATCACACACTATTTAACTAAATAGGATAAACTATCATAATCCTTGAAAGTAACGGTCAATTTCCATGTGTTTCACCTATTTTTTGATAAATAGAAAAAACTAAATATACTTAACAACAAATAACTCAAAAACCGTTGGGTTTAGAGAAAGATAGTAAATACAAAAAATGTGTATTTTTAGATGACCTACATTTTGTACATTTAGCTTTTTCCTGTATCTCTAATAATAAAGTCACTATAGCGAAAAATACAGAAATATGCCGCCATTTTCCAATATGGCGGCCGTAGCACAGCTTCAATTTTAGGGGACTTTTAGTATGTTCAAAAGGAAGGTACACCCAACATCTGTACCAAATTCCCCAGTTGTGCTAATTTTTTTTGGGTCGAAACATATTTTTACTGTACTATATAGTTACCGTAGTTAAAGCTTTAGATTTTACAGTAAAATGACAAGTTTATGTGCTTTATCAAGTCAGTGATTATACTCACCCCATTGACCAGTTTGCCATCCTGGTACACTTTCTCCAAGTTTTCGGAACATTTGACCAGAAGTTCTTCAATGTCGGGCTTGACTGATGGATAGCGTGTGATTAAACTCTTGATGAACCTGTCAAGAAAATCGAGTGAAACTTTAAATATTCAAAGTCTGCAAGCAATTGTAAGCTAAAATGTTCCTTCTCCTTGTCTGAACTCAGCATTCATAAAGCACCAGCAACATTTTGGTTACTTCAAGATTGTAAAATAATGTATTTTAGCCCTATTTTCTTCTTTTATGACTTCCCGTTCCAAGATGCTATATGCTACAGCCCAGAACCATTTTCAAATTACTTCAGTCTAGGCCTAGAGGGTTGAGTTTAGCATTATTGCTTACATAAAATCAATTAGTGATAGGCAGGATTTGAACTCATGACCTCTGGGACCTAAGATCTGATCCATCGATAGACCAGCTCGCTATCCTATAGTACATTTGAACAATTTTCTCTCAACATTATTTCCTCTAGAAGTTACAAATTTCTCAGCAAAAAAGACTTCCAAACAACAGAACAGCAGAATGGTTAAAAATTAATATTTAGCATGTTCCAAAAATTAACATTTTCAACAATCCTGGTTCAAACTAAGGAAACTGCCAATAACTGCATCATTATCTGACAAAATATAATCGCTCGCAACTCAATATATACACATTCATCTTTCAAGTGACCTTCAAATTAGAATTTTTTACGCAGCTAAAAGCTACTTACTTGATGAGAGAGGACAACGCTTCCACAAAGGCCAGCAACAGATGACTCTCATCGTCTGCAAAGCTCAGCTCCTTGATTGTGTTACGCCTTGGTTGTAACTGTTGTTGCCGCTGCTTCTGCCACGTACGCAACGACTCTTCCAGCGACTGGAACACAATACTGTGAAAAACCGACTGTGTCTGGTTTAAGAAAAAAGTTAAGCTATCGCAAATTTTGTTTTTCAAAGAGTTCACTTTGGTGACGATAATCTTGATAACCAATTATCATACAAAAACACTCCAAGATACTAAAGTATTTGTTTCTCAAGCTCTACAAAACGGTTTAGAGAGAAATTCTATGTTTTGAAAGTCAAAAATATAAAAAAATAAACATTTTTACCCCATAAAACCCCGTTCTTATAGTACGATCATGCTGGTTCGCGAACTTGTTAGAATGAACATAGGTTTACTCGTTTGTAAGAATTTGAACAGATAGGTTTTTGGCCTCTGGAGGAATCAAAACAAAAAAGTAAATCGGTCGTGAGTCCAGGTCTTACCATGAGACCTACAGGAATACCGCAGCATATTCCCTTTATATGGGAGATTTGATAAAAGGAACTAGTTCTAACCTAAACAAAACTTTTAATCAACTCTCACAGATGAAACTGAGACCAACCTTTTAAAAATTTTATTTAAATTGAACAGTCAACAAAAAGTTATTGATTTTATTTTTAGTGCATTCTTCCAAAAAGTTTAACCAAACAATAAGCGAAAAGAGACAGATATCAATGACATAAAAGTGTTTACCCTATTTCTACAAAGCATCTTCATGCGGTTTTTATGAATGATTCTGATCATCCCAGGAGGCTGGATCCAAGCTTCGCCATCCACTTGTATGGGAACACCTTCATCACCTGGACAGATTTAAAATTTATTAACAAAACGGTTTTTTGGAGCTTTAAATAGATGACATTATTGAAATAATCTTCCCGAGAACATCAGTACAATGAAAGAGTAGACAATTTCAGAAACACAGGCATTAGACAACAATTCAAAAGCCAATGAACAATGCTCTAGCCTAAAATACAAGGTTAGCTCATGAATAGCATGCTAACAATCCTAATCATGGGTAAGCGGTAGGAGTAGCTATGGCATCTTATAGATAAAATTTAAAAAATTGCAGTAACTTTTACAGCATTTGAGGCAATACCATTCCATTTAGAGTTAAAAGTACCTTAATATATACTATCCTTCAAGTCGTTTTTACGGAAATCCCATTTTCTTTAATTTATGGAAAACCCACCAACAAAAAAGGAATTTAAAAAAAATGAAAAGAAATTGTCTGGAGATATCATGGGACAGAAAAAGAACCCACCCAGTCAGCCACATACCGAATTTCTTCAAAATTGGACCACAGCTGTAGCTCTGTACAACTCCACAAACACACCAACACACCTACTCTTCAAAACCACTTTTGTTCAGGGGGATCCAAAACAAACATTTCCACCCAAAACACAAACTCAAACATTTTGATGGAAACAATACGTTCTCCTTATACTATGTATAGGGAACGGAAACAAAAAAAATCATAATGGGTTGCTACTAGGGTGTGTTAGTCACATAAATTGGGATGAAGGCATAATAAGTCAAATTTAGTACAAGAGGATAATTGGTGGAAAGAGAAAGAGATAGTTTGGAAGAGTACCAAAGAAAAAGGCAAGATAACCCTAGAGGAAAATACATACAACAATTAATTAGAAAAGGAGAAGTTTAATATAGGGGATAGATGAATAAACAAAACCTATCACACTTGAGAAACTTCAGTTACTAAATTGAGAAAAATGAACAAATCTGTAATGGCTTTCCCTAGTAATCGTTTTCAGATCGTTAGTATATTTTGCACATCTTATCAAATGACTGAACTTAATGAATCTTATAGAAAAAAATGTATGTCTTCCACAACGACAATAATATAAACAAGATACCATCCAAACCCGCAAAAGGCACATCTATAGGATAAGAGCTTTAAACTGATACCCAATATGCGTATAGAAATAAATATTTTCGATTTACAGCACACAAAAATCCAACGAATTCTTTTAATAATATAGATTAAGAAACTATAACGGTCCAAAAACTATTCTTCATTTATGTTTGTGTTAACATGATTTGTCCCTAATGTCTTTTGTGTTAAACAAAACAAGATAATATTACACAAATCTTTTCAACACCACAGCAATGAATAATGTAGTCCATGAGAAACTACGCATAATTCAGGGGAAAAATACAAAAAAGTTACGCACATTTTTGTCAGTAGAATTTTATACTTCAAAAACAAAATATATTTTACATTAATCTCCTGTATTCTCCCTTGTCTTAGTAATAGCCTTATCAACTTCGGTCAGTTTTGATCGTTGCCATAGTCTTACCTAGTATGTTGATCTGTACAGTCTGGCACTGTGCGATGCGGTGATGTTGTAGATTGATCAGTCTAGACGCAGCCATCTGCACAGAGCCGAACACTGCCACCACCTCCAGTATCTTGTCATCTACTGACGGAGCCAGGAACACGTCGTCCTCCTTCGTACCACCCCAGAAGTTAGTGCCTCCCATGAAACTGTGGATTAAAAATGTAATTAAATTAAATCAAACCGACAAATTCATCTTACTCCTAACATATACTTTTGCTGTGTTTAGATTGTAACATATTAGTGGCTTAGTATATAATGCAGGTCTAGACAAAACCTGAAGCTTTTAGGTAAAGTACGAGATGGAGTAATAATGATAAATGTTGGTATACACTTTGACTAGGCATGTGTATCAGGCAAAGTATAAAATAAAGATATTTGTTAGAAAAACTATTTACTTTACAATTTTCTAATAATTTGTGTCCTAAGCTTTTACCATGTTACGATTGTAGGCCTAATTAATTTGACAGTCTTGCTGTTATGTCCTGGCCTTATGTCCTGTTTGCAAGGTGTTTACAGCACCTTCATACCAAAATTAAGAGTTTTTGGGGGAATTTTCTGTAACGTCGACATGCAATTTTGAGGGTTAGTTGGTGTATAAAATCCAAGTAGACTATGTAAAATTTATGCACCATGTCAAGCAAGCTAAACTGGGCGTAGGAAAATTAAAGGGGAGAAAATTTTCATTATCAATATATAAATATTTGAAAAAGTGTAAATTCAACAATTCAGTGAGTTTACCTTGGAATATTAAGTATGACAATTCCTTGCAGAGAGGGAAGGGGAATCCTTTGTCCATCACACTCCAATTGTACTCTCTGCTCCAAATTCTTGTATGTTTTCTATAAACAATCAATCAGACAATGTACTAAGTCAATAGTAAAATGAGTAGATACATTGATTAAGATTTTGAATAAATAACCGAAATCACCTAAAAAAGTGATGCAGCTCCTTAGAAGGAGAAAATCTTTTTTACCCTAGAACACAAGGCTCTGGCCCAGGATTCTTTGTCACATTACTTCAGACTGCGGCGTTTTCACTTAGATAGAATCCATAGGTGATTTTGCAGGATTTTAAACCTGGACTTTAGGGACCGAAATTTTGCACTCTACCACTATACCAGCTCGCTCCTCCTAGAAGTAGCACATCAGATGCATTTAAGGTCACCAGACGCACACTTTATATAATTAGTTGTATAGCTCCACCATGCTATGACAGTAGTGTTTGGGTACGTAGACAGACAGACTAATTTATGTGGCTAACCCGCCCTAGTAAAAACCGAATATGACTTTTTTTACTTTCTGTCACTATACATATTTTATGGAGAAAGTATTGTTTTCATTAAGACAGACTATATTTGATTCATTTAGATGACTGCTGTGTAGTACTTTTTACTATTTGATATACATCAAATTTTTAGACATGTAAAATTGAAAGGTAAACTTATTCCACTAGCATCTTTGATGTCTCCTTTACCAATCATAGTTAGAGTGGGGGGAATGTACAGTCCTGTCTAAGGAAAATGTCAGCCTTAGTCACTAACAAGACTACTAGATGGCTCATCCTACACTCACCTTTCTTGGCTTGAAATACCTTCCTTCGTAGGGTCACCATTTCAGTTAAAAGTATTAAAGTAATCAAAGTCAATGAGAGCAAGTTTCATACCTGTAGCCACTCCTTGCTGCCAAGTACTCCGTACCACATGTAATTGCGAGCTCTTGATCTGCATTTCTCAGGGTGTTCCTCTCGCTTGTGATGGAAGTCAAGAGAAATCTTAGCGTCGATACCGATACCAAAGTAGTTGTTCATCACACACCTCTCGAAAAACCCCTCCCTAGTTGAAATAACAAAAATACTCATTATAACAGAATATTTTGCCCTAGAGTATAAAAAAAGTAAAAATGAATATCAAAAATATGTACGGTTCTCCATTGAAATGTATTTTTTTCTAAGGTTCTTGAAAAGTATTTTGTTTATAGAAAAAAAGATCAAATAAATTGTAGGAGCCAACTCATTAAGGCACGCTATTTAACATTTCTGTTACGTACACTAGTTAGTAGTTTGCTTAACGAATGGTGTAGAAGCATGAAATATATTTGATTCCTAGTACCACAGATAGATGTGTCACAGTTAAAACTTGAGTTTGCGTATTAATCTTGTCAGGCTTTAGGTACTTTTCCTCTGAGAATGGTTCAGATCCCAAACATCTTCAAAAATTTGTTTGATAGTGATGCATTAGGACTACTGCGTCCGCAATAATCCTTCAAATAATGTTTTTGTAGTATGACTCACATGAGTGTCTCGTCAGGATCCATGAGCGGCACTGCTGCGGCACACAGAGCGTCTGCGTTGGCCAGCAACGCTTGACTGATGAGGCCAGCCCCACCTGACACATCTGAAACACACGAGTGGAGCTTACAGATAAACATAAGATATCAATGATTAATCAATAAACGAATAAGTGATTGATTGATTGGTTCGGTTGATATATGAGGTGGGTATCCGCCCTAAGCCTTCGACTGTCAATAGCGATTCACTAAGTGTATTGGAGACATTTCAATGAAATCTTACCAACATTGATGAAAATATTACACGTTATGTAGTCTCAATTATACAACACTAGCTGTACCCGCGGGCTTTGCCCTGTTTAACTTCTTAATTTTCAAGATGAGCTCGTTCGTTACGCTAACTCGCCACCAGGTTGAAGTTTGTTCGCTACGCTCACTCACCTTTTGGTTGCAAATTAGCTGTTGTCATAAATTAATAAAAAATAATAGTGCTGCACCCTGTTGGTAATCCTTGTAACTTAAAGCTATTGCACATCATAGAACAGGTGACCAACTTGTTTAATTGAAACAGCTGTTAAGATTCATTAATTCCATTTAAATATGAGTACTCATAAGGTTAACATGGGAAACTCCAGAGCCACTGGGGCGGAGCCCGAGAGTCCGATCAGAATAAAAACAACTTAGTTTTCCTATTTAATGCCTAAAGAATCAGTGTACCAAACTTCAGCCTCCTAGGTAAATGGGAAGTGGGAGAATTAGTGATGAGTGAGTGAGTGAGTCAGTCAGTCAGTCAGTCAGTGAGGGCTTTGCCTTATATATATATATATATAGACTAGCTGAGTACCCGTCCTTCGTACGGGGTTGGTATACAATGCATATTGTAGTTAAATACTCGTGCTTTGCATTTGCAATGAGAGAGGACACGTTTTGAGAAAATTTGGTTTACTATAACCTACGGTATACTATAGTATATAGAACATCTACCATAGCCATAATGTTCTACCACTTCACCTAAACAATATAAAGAAGTAAAGTTCTCAGGTTTTTGTTGCTGCTTGGTTCAAATTAGCTGTTGTCATAAATGTATAATGAACTAATGGTGCTGCACCCTGTTGGTAAACCGTATAACCTTTTAATGCTATTGAATATCATAGAAACAAATTGTGTAGTTGAAACAGCTGGCAAAATTATTTAATTCCTTTTAAATATGAATACTCATAAGGTTAACATAAGGTTAACACAGGAAACTCTAGAGCCGCTGGGGCGGAGCCCGAAAGGATTTTTGAGGTAAGAATATGTCTATATGTTAATCGGGAATGTGAGCTATCAGCATACCAAATTCTAACACAATCCGACCTGTAGTTAATGCGTGATTGAACTTCAAACAAACATACAAACACACAAACTTTCACATTTATAATATTAGTATGATAAATCGTCTGCAGCAAACAGAATAATTGGAAAGGTTTGATAATAAAAGTAATAAAAGGAAATAATAAAACCATGCTTTAGGGCTTGCTCTACCTGTCCGCCGCGCGCTAGTGCAAGGGTTTAGGATCTCTGTCATTGTGGGCTTGGTTCCTATCTGATTGAAAATATATTTATGTTAAGGCTTGTATCGTTTTATTTTTTTGGTAATAGTAGAATTTAAAATGGGAAGTGACTGGGAAATACATCAAAATAAGCTATTTCTATAGCATAAAACAATACAAATAAATTTTTAGAAGAAAATTAAAACAATAGAGTCATAAATTTGAATCTAAAGAATAAGGAAAATCCTTCAGTTGAAAAAAAATTGAATGTGAAATGAGTATTTTGAGAGAACTTAAACGTCAACAAGCGCTTCTCGTGGTGCTGTTCAATGGCGCAACATAGCTACTGAAGCCCGAGCTGAGGTAGAGGGCACTCTTAACGCTTAAAGTCATGAAAAAAGTTATCAATTTTAAAACCACTGCATTCAAACTTAAAAGTTTAATATGACGCTGAATCCACTAGATCAAAAAGGAAAACTCGTTACAAGAGGTTTTAAACTGTACTTGCACAAACATAATCTAGAGACTAAATAATGTAATAAAGGGTATCAGCAAACCGACACATACTTTCTCATATTACCTTGTCAAAAAACCGTTGGTAAAGTTACAAAAATTTCAATAACTTTTGAACCGTAAATTTTACAGCAATGGGGATGTCTACCATTCTGTTTAGAGCGCTTAGGTCCATAACACACTAAATTTTAATCCAAACTGTTTTAGCAGTTTAGGTAAAAATCTGACTTTTATGTTTTTTTATGCGTTTTTATAGGAAAATGAAAATACCCATTAGAAATTCAAATTCCAAAAAGTTAAAGGATTACCTAGACATACCAGGTGTAGTCTGTAGCTCTACACATCCATAAAAAAAAACTTTTTAGGGTTTAGGCGGACCCAAAACAAATATTTCTACCCAAAACTTGAACTACAAATTTTTACGAAAACAATAATTTCTCCATATACTAGGTGGGTTGTAGGGGGAGGTAAAAAAAAATAGTCACGAAAGATAACCTACTAGGCCACATAGGTAGTCGAACTAGAGGGTTGATGATAGGCAACCTCTTCTCACGAGCCACAGGTTTGCTGGATTCAGACGAAGGTGTCGGTTGGTCCGCGGAGTCTGAACGGAGCAACGAGGCGGAGGATATCCTACGAGAGGTCGCCGGTGAACACTGCAGCAATGAACACGACGGTGACGCTGCCGATACTGCAAACAGGAAATGAGTAGTGTCATGCAGAGCAAACATTATGATAATTTATATCAGAAAATCTATTGTATAGGGAGGAGCTGATACCATATAGTTAACAAAGTAGGGTAGGTCTGAGAATGTGAAAATTTATCAAGTTGATGCATTTTTTTGTCAAACTGCAGCAAAAACAGATGTTTTAAAACTTAAGTTGCTGGTCTAAAATATTATGTCTTTTTCTCCCTAGGACAAAAAAGGATCTACAAATAAGGTGGAATAAGAATTAGCTGGAGTCAAGGAAATCAGCTGAAAATTCTGTCTAGTTGTAAACTATGATTGTAAGTAATTAAATAATCAAGAGCAGACTGATATCAGGTGTTTTCATTGATTTGATTAAAAAGCTGACAATTAACTATAGCATATACATTCCTGGAAGAGCAGGAGATAAACTTGACTACTTGTAAAAGTATTTTAAACAAAAAGATAAACTTGTATCATTCTTACATTTCCGACAAAACTCAAAACTGGGTCTCCTCATGTAGTCTCCCTCCTCCTCAGGCACCTCCAGTGTGATGGTGGGGGGAGAGGGGGGGTCAATGACCACCATTGGACCTTCTCCGAACTTGGGCAGACCTCCTTTGGTCATCTCATGGAATCTAGCCAGCTCTTCATCATCGGTCTCCGATGGAGCAAGACTCTTGCGATGTTCCACATCTAGATTGTCCCCTAGGTAAGTCACTGGTGAATCTGCATTCGAACAAAGGTTGCTGCTCGAGCCATTGATTTGAACTTTAACAATGTCGGATATACTTCTTTGTACTTCATCAGGTTTTTCGTCATCAGGATTGTCAATTTGAATGATAGGTAAACCAGGAAACTTGCTGTCTGTAACTGGCTCTGATTCAGGGTCTAAATTTGCATCAACATTTCGATGTCTGCATTTTATTGAGCGTCTACCGATGTCGAAGCCTTCGACGAAGTGAGCAATACTCGCCCTTTTGGTTTCTTTTGGTCTTATCCCTAATTCGTCACTGAATCCGTCGTCATCTTCATCGTCTTCAGGTGAGGTTGATATTAAATTCGTTGCATCGTTCTCGACTAAGTCTTCTTCTCTCCTATCACAGACGGGTAAGCGTGTGTATCGTCTAGTTTTAGCAAAAGCTCGGTCTTCGGACAAGGACCTTTTTCTCTCTGTTTCTTTGTGAGTGGTCATTGGAACTTCTGGGCTGTCGTCGGAAGTTTCTGACGAGTCAATGTGGCCGATATTTGCTATATCTTCAGACATTTTAAAGCCCGATAGTATTCCGTCTTTTAGTTTCTCCTCGTCATCCGCTTCAGTCACACACAACTCGATTGTTTCTCCTTCGTCGTTGTCCAAAGACATTTCTGGGGTTGTTATTCGTTTGAAACATTTTGTAGGGTCAGGTACATTGTCTTCAGCAGCCTCCACAGAGGTTCTAACATCTACGGCTAAATCTACTGAGATCTGTCTTGTTAGTGAATGTCTTCTTTCATCACCTTCTTGTGTCCTACAAAAAATTATCTTTTAGTTGTTTTATCTTTACTCAAGTAAACAATTAGTTTCTTTAAAATTACTATCCTATTGTGTTACTAAATTTATTCATCTCTGATCATTTATAATATTTACAGGTTAAGAAAAACTGAGGATAAAAGAGATAATCTATAAGAAAAGATTTAATTATTGACATGAACAATTTTATTTGAAGTGTTGTTGTTCTACCAAATTCAGTGTGTCCTAATTTGAGAAAATTTGTAGATCTATAACAGGATTACGTAAGTCTTACATTATGTCCAACAGCTCAGGGGCTAAAATCATGAATTTTAATTAAAACACACAAAATAAAAACACACCGTACCTATAGTGTTTTGTTTCTTCAAGGATTTGTAATACTTAATCCCTGTGGTTACATTACAAAATCGCTCAAGCAACAAATTAGTTTATCTGAAAAAATCATACAATTTTACAAAGCTACCTACCCTGACGAGCCATCAGTGCTAGAGTTGCGTCTGGTATCAGCAAACTCGGTAGGTACAGGTAGGGACACCAGGGTGAACTCATCACAGGCAGAGTCCCGGCGGAGGTCGGGCAGAGGTGACGGCAGACGAGAAAACCCCGGCATCTGGTCACCACTAGGAGATTCTAGCACCTGTAATGTCCATGTGTGTTTTCACTACTGTAGAACCCCTCATTGGGTCTGTAGTTTGTTAGAATTATGGTCTATTCACAAGATTTAGGCAGTTTAAGGGGAAGGTTTCCTTGGTTCCCCCACCACTAATTTTGCTTTAACTATCAATCAGCTGATCAGCTGTAGGCTGTCGTTTTAAAGTTAGGGTGAGGTGGAGGGGATTGAATAAATAATAGTATAATTCAGTATTAATACATTGCTTGCTACAATAGTCCATAGTATAGCATGTGTGGTGTCAAAACCCCTTTATACAAAATAGTTAATGCATAGACACAAACTACTAGTGTTGCAATTTGCCATACGTTGTAGTAGTTACAGTTACAGTTATTTTAACTACAGTTCTCGTCCAATTTTCCCATGGTAACTTAGTTCATTTCCAAACTTGGCAAAAGTTAGATAATTCTATTGAAGTTTGAAAACGGACAAAGATCCAAAGCATGTAACTTACAAAAAAAGTCTATAAATTCATACATAGGTATAGGAATTTGCGATGGTGGTTTAGCCTCTGGAACGAAAAAGTAAAGCGTCCCTGGGTCTAAGTCTCACTATTAGACCTACAGTTATAGATTATATGGGAAATTCACTAATAAAAAATCTCACTATCGTTAGATAATATATATAAATCTTAAACTCAAGAGGCCATACAAGTCTTAACACAGAGAAGTAAGGTACAGAGAAAACACGCTTGTGGGAAAATCGTGTGCTTTCAGCTCTGGTAAACTATACCATTTAAATATACTTGTGAAAAGCAAGGAAGAAAGTCAAGAGACAGAGCAGCGAGCACTGTGCGGAAATTTCCATCGCATAGGTCACAAGGTATTCCTTCACCGTGAGATGTACATGAGGAGTAATGTTGGAATTTGCCCTAGACACCAGCACTTGTGCTGGACACAACTTAAGTGTAACACTGAGTGTTTCCTATGTTACTTTTCTGTGGTCTTATTCATACAAACATAGGTCAATGCACTAAATCACCATTGCTTAAAATACCACCCAGTCCTGTGGTCATATTTCTGAGTTGTTTACTTAAAAAAATAACATCTTGGGTTTGATTCCTTTTACTTGCTCCCATTCTGGTTGGGAATCATCAAAATAGAAAAAAAGATCTAATTTGATATCAATCACCTTAAGAGTGTCCATTTTTGGTCCCGCGGCCTGATTCTGGTTCTGGTTTGGTTGCTTGTTTTGATCATCAACCATTTTTTCAGTGTGTTCAACCAACTGACGAACCGCTCGCTTTAAACTGTCTGCTCTTCGCACCAGCTGTTCTTTGCGTTCCTAAAACATTGCAACACATTGTAAAATATTTTCAATTTATTTTTAGAACCAATGCCATTTTTGAATAATTGGGAGGAATATTGAAAAAAATAATAATGTTAATGTTAAATAGTTTTTCTTTAAGCGGGTACTTTAGTTAAATGGATTTATAAGATTCGTGGATTCATTTTATGTCACAATTACAGGTTTAATATTTTAGAGGAAAAGTTGTATAACAAATTGGAAAAGTTTAAAAAAATCAGAAAATTAGCAGAAATTTAAAAATATTTTATAAAACTTATTGACTTTATGATGGATATAATATAGGTGTAAAAAATCTTTTGCTTACAAGTAAAAGAAAATTAAATATCTCTATATATTCTACTTACAAAAACACTAGATGAAAAAGTTTAATGAAATTATATGGTAGGAGAATAATTTTTTTCTGTGACATTCAAACAATAATTGGACAGAGTCAGTTATTACAATAGTGTTAAAAGCGAATAAGGTGTGATAAGTTTTAAAAAAGCACAGTGAAATGTGGAAGAGATATGTGAATTCTGAATTGTGAAGATGAAACGCTCCGAACTACCACTACTGATACTCTCACACTACAAACTAACCAGCTTAACTGGTATTTCATCTTCATCATCCTCTTTCTCTTCATTTTCTTCCGAATCTTTTTCCTCTTCCTATAAAATAACATTTTATTGACAACCACTTGAAGTCTTAAATAAAACATAATTGAATAAGCATAAACAAGTTGCACAAGTACTACAAGTTGTCATCCAGTATTAAGAAACAATTTGTTACGAGAAAATTTACTAAAATAAATCTAAGTTTTTCAAACTGATAAAATTACAATATTTACTTAGATGGACCTTCCAAACTTTTAACTGATAGGAAAAAATGGAAACTATACTTAAACAAGTGAAATATGAATTTTTCTACTTTAAACGCAAACAGAATGTAGAATAATTAATATTCCTGGATGGTAAGCAATCATTGGCTGAAGGCTCAGTAATAATTTTCTTAATTTAGTAGTATTGTGTTTTTAGTTTGTATACAGAAGTTATATTTAAAAGTTGATTTAAATAATATCATACTTTGAAACCTGAATTCTTAAAGTTTAAAGGTGATCTTTCTCATTTCTGTTAATATTATAAATATGTTGTATAGGGATTATTTTAATTATTTTCAGAAGAATAATATTTTATTAATTCTATTGTTTTATTTTGTTTCATGTTGTTTCATTTTGTTTTTTTAGTTTCATTACACCTCTGGTATTTATTGACTTTGATTAAACAGACAGCAACAATACAACAACTGGAATGAGTCACCTGTTGCAACAAACAACTTCCATGGCAACAGTTTGATCAATAATAACCCCAACTTAGTTGGTTCAACACTGTTGTGTGAACCACTAACAAAATTTTCAGTGAATATCAAACTACCTTTATGACAATTTAAACATATTTAAGGAAGTGAGAGTGAGAGTGAGTGAGGAGGTGAGAGTTTAGAAACTTAATAATGGCTAAGAAAAAGTTGACGAAAAAGGAGAAACAAAGGCTTGCTGAAGCAGAAGCAAAACGGAAAGCGGCAGAGGAAGAGGCAGAACGTCTGAGATTACAGAAAGAGGAGAAAGAACGGTTGAAAAGAGAAGCTAAAGAAGCCAAAGAGAGGGCCGAAAGAGAAGTTGCTGAACACCACATACGTTTTGAACACCTGGGAAATTCTTGTAGGCTGTTTGAGGAGTACCAACAGACCAAGCTTCTACAAGACATTGCACTTAGAGAGGCAGAGGAATGGAAGCTGTACCTAGAATGTAACGGATTACCCAATCCAGCCAACCTAGCTGAGATGAACACATATCTATTCTTATGGAAACTAGATAAAAAGACAAATTTCATTGATGACAATCTGCCGAAAACGCAAGAAGTTTTAAACTTACTCAGTGTGATTGACACATTGATCGATAACCCTCTAAACAACAAGCAAAAACAAGTTGAAAACTGGAAAGAAGTGCGGAACAACTTTCGAGAGGAGTTACAAGAGAGACTGGACAATTCATCTTTCCACATTCTGAGACAACTAGAGACAAATATGAATCCAGTTGATTTGGAGACAATGACATACCTGAAGGAATGCCCTTTTTTGATCCTTTGTATGTGGACAGTGTTGAAAATTCCTCGTGCTTTCAATGATTCTCGACCACCACCTTTCATAGAGTTTCCCCAACTCGGTGTGACCATTCAACTACCACCCAAGTTTACCCATAGTTTCCCAGTAGTGCGAGCACTCTGGCTCAAACATGACCACTTCTCTGACTTGTGTCGCACATGGGAGGCCAAACCTCTTCCAGCGGAATATTCAAAAAACCTCAACGATCTGAAAAATGCAGAGTGGGAAGAAAAGCAACGGATACAAAACGAGCAGGACGCAGAGGAAGCAGCAAGATTGGAGAAGTTGAAGAAGAAAAGTAAGAAGAAACACTATCAACCACCGCCAGAAGTGACTGAAGCAGCTACACAAATAGATAACATGTCTCTTGGTGAGAACAAAATAGCTGAGACTATTTCTTCAGCAGACATGCTACAGGCAAACAGTTCAACTGGGATAGCACCAACCTCCAGTTCCACATCAGCTTCAGGAAAACTGGAAGAATCTGCTGAAATTCCTTTGGAAAAACCTCCTGAACCTCGCAAGAAACCTTCTGAGATAATGGAGGAAAAGGAATTAAGCAAGATCAGCGAACTGAGAAAGTATTTAGAGGTACAATTGGAGCCTGGGGAATTAAACATGCGAAGATACACTGTGTTGGGAGGAGTGTTCCATCTGGATCTCTTAGAGCAGCCTCCCCAGCCGAAAATACTACCTGATAGAACTTTGTTGACGATTTTAGAAGGTGAACACAAACTTCAACACATAGACTATTACGAGGAGTACCACGTCACGCTTCCAGACAAGGAGAACACAGGTGATGAAACCGACGCTGAAACCAAAGCTGCATTGGAGAGTGCTCAGCTGAAACTAGTCGCTATTAATATTTCCCTACCTGAATCTGTCTTGTGGTTTGAGCCGCCCACCGCTGTCCAGTGGAATCGGCACAAGAAGATTTGGTCCACCGCAAACATTCACGATCCCAAGTTTAACGAGGAAAAGCAAATTCTGACGATAAAAACAGGCCTGATGGCTCCGGTGGGACTTGCTACATTTCGTTTTGTAAATCTTCCCTACCAGACCTGGGAACTCCGTCCGGACTGGAAAGGTCCTCCAGGGGGAGTGTTTTTAAGTATCACTGCTGCGACTGTCATCGTAGAGTTCATCATCAGAGCAAACCAAGTGTGTATGAACCAGCTCCAGAACGCCACAAGTACTGCGCTGCAAGACATAGTGGGGATTTTCTACCCTCCTCATCAGCTGATAAGGAAGATGCGTCAGGGAGGGATAGACTTATTCCCTGAACATGACGCGTATTTGTATGTGGAAGGTGTTACTCAGAAACATTACACAGCGGAAAACCATCTCTATCACTGCATGGCTCTTTTCAGCACCACTTATAACTTCTCATGGTCAAGATGGAACCTGCTTGCTGGGCGGAACAATATGGTTATGCAGGTTAGTTTGAATATCACTCACTTTGTGTAGCATTGACTTTTCCAGTTTATATGCTTCAAATACAATAGAGATGATTAAATTGGTTTTTCAACTTATAAAATTTGAGAAAGCACAAAAACATCGGTAAATATTTAGACACTTCAAATGATGAAATTAAGAGCAAAAATATTTACTTATGAAATAAAAATAAACATAGAATATTTAATTTTACAAAAAACTATGTCAAAATGGTTTTTTTTCAGGTGCGAGAATTCATTGATCGAAAGCGGTTACCAAACTATCAGATGCTTCAAGTAACCCCACTTCGAGCCTGCATCGTAGACTGTACTGAGGTAATTTGCTTTAATTATTAGAGATTATATATATGAAATATATACATTAGTCGTTTGATTACAGTAAGTTAAAACATCCGATCAGAAAAACATAAAAAAGGTCTCATTGTGAAACCATGCGGTTGGCATTCTGGGTTATAGTAGTACGTTTTCTGTGGTACTGGCGTCATTGGTAAACAGAATGGCGCTATTTGCAGATGCGTAGCTGCGTGTACGCTTTGCTGTGCGTTTATAAAATTGTTAATTATTTTTTAATCTTCCGCTTCGTGCAAGGTTAGGTCAATGATACGTTTATTGACCACAAGAAACATATCTGATGCTGACATTCATCGCCAGATGACTACCGAACATGACTTGTAAAAATAACCGTGAAAACTTTTTTCCTTTTAGCGAATTTCCCATATAGGGAATAAGCTATTTGGTCTTCTTTGAGAAGTCTGGGGTACACACCAAAAACACAATTCCTTCTAAATTGGACATTTTTCATGGCCACCTTTAAGCTCCCTGACCCATTTTTACTCTGTACCCTCTATAATTTCATCGGGGCTATAAACTTCAGTCATCTGACGATGAATGTCTGTAGCTTAATATGTTTCTTGCGGTAAAAAAAAAAAACATATCACTAACCTTAACTTGTACGCAGTGGGAGATTTAATAACAACAAAGCGTAAACAGCTGCAGAGGTGCAAATAGCACGGTTCTGTTCACAAAAATGCCAGTAAGCAGCGAGGAGTCTCGTTGTGGCATACATGTGAATTAAGAAGCTACGTACAAACGTACTTAGAAAACAACCCTCGTAAACAATAAGTGTATAAAGTCGATTTCAGGCAATAATTACATATAACCTTGCAGACTATGAAAGTTTGAGCGTAAATTGTTTTCAGGTTAGTCAGGCGTTCTCCCAATTGGGAGTGGAAGGGATGAAGTTCTACCCTGACTTGTACATGCTGGTCAACGAACACGCGTCTTCAATCTCCCGGGAGAAGATAGATAACATCGACCTGGCATTGGTGGAAACTGTCTACCAAATACTATTCAGCTCAAGGGTACTTAGTTACTCCTAGAGTAATATCAACGGCCAAAAAATAAGTTTTCAACAAGTATCCACTTTTGTATTCAACGTTACACCACAGATAAATGGAAATAAAAAATTGTTTTTTGGTTTTTTCCCTCCAGGATTAGTGCAACGACTATTATAAAATAGGTTACGTAGTTGGTAAACACAATAGTAAAATGCTGCATACTACGCATCTTAACATTCACTCCACTACATTTAAACTGTCGATGATTGCCAGAGCTTAAGATGTTATAGTAAAATTAGATGTTGGATACAATGTTAATTATTGTTTTTGGACTTGCCAGCAACTTTGCTAGTAAGGAAATTGCAACCCTGAATGGTCAATGGGTTGATATTTATAAAAAATTATTTTCATTATATTATTAGTACTTAATATTTTATTTTGAAAGAGCTTCAAAATACAACATCATTTGTCATTTTTCAACGGTACAACAAAGAATTGTATTATTCTGGTAACTTAAGAACAAAACCTTAACTAACCGAATCTAGTCATGTAGTTTATAATTGTTAATCCCATGCTAATGTTTAATACTTATACTAAAAGGACAATCATCACTTAAAAAAAAATACCGAAAAGCAAGACATTTTCATAGCTACTCACTTATTTCAAAGCTTAGGAAACTAACACTTTATAGAAAATTATACTGTTGGATAGAAGACAACTAAAGTTGATGCATTATCTAGCAAAGGGGTTTCTATAAAACCTAAGGTCTAATTTTAAAACAAGAAAAATAGGGTAATGCAGCCACTACTTAAACTGGTTCAGGCAGTTTTTTTAAGAACTGACCAACTTTACTGGTTTTTCCTCCTCATCTTGATTCACATCTTCTTTTTCTGGTGGTTCATTTTGGTTTTCCTACAAAATCAATTTGACCAGTTAACCAGTTCTTGAGTAAACTCAGAGAATTGTTTTGTTACAATTGCCAATAAAAAACAATATATTTAGGATTTTACAAATACAGTAGAGTCCCGCAAACTCAGCGTAATGTGGACTGTAAGGGTGCCAAGTTTGTGAAATGCTGGGTTATCGGGAACTAGGGTTAAAAACAAGAACAATACAATTTTTAATCTTATTAACTACCTACGGTACCTACTTCTTTAATTTATATTTATATTACTAGTTAGTATTAAGTCATCAGATATAGTAAAACAAATCATTTGTACGAGCTGAGAATGATTTGACTTGAGCTGGCTTGAGTCCAAAGTTTAACTCGGACTCAAAAAATCACAAATTTTCTGAGCCAGGTGATGGCCGAGTTATCCAGACTGCCGGGTTATCGAGTGCCGTGTTTGCGGGACTCTACTGTATAAGCAAAACCAAAGTTCGTTCCAAAACTTTAACAAACATCAAAACTCAAAACATCACTATTTTTCTTGAAAAAAAGTAATTTTTCTTTGTTTGAGGAACCTTACTGTATTCAAAAGTTTTAAAGTAATGAAAATTATAGATCCAATTCTATTCTTTATAAAATAAACAAACCAGTTACCAGAGGTAAAAGTATTATACCTTGGACATGGAGAACTTTGGCCAAACTTGGACTAAGAAGGGACTAACAATCCTTCAAACAAGTTGGCAACATCGTTTTTCAACTTCAAGTAACAATTAATTTTAAAGACATACAAATAGAGACTGATGCATTTATATACAAACCACTTACTGGGGATTTGAGCGATTGCTCTTGATCGCGAAGCGACTCTAGCAGCAAGTCCAGCTTGTGCCGCAGTACTTGACATTTTTCACTGAACTCTCTGTCTCCCTGGCCCAGACTGAGGTCTGCAGCTCTCAGTGAGAAGTCCTTGACAGTCTCACACAACACCCTGATGACAACATACAAACCTCGTACAGTCAAACTATCTGCAGAAAAAATAGTAAATACCCTAACTTTGGCCAGAGCCTCAAACAAGACTTATGAACATTGACTGGCTTACACTACACCAAACACTGATAAAATATTTTACCTACGAACTTTTTTTAAGTAGCCTAGGTGTTTCAGTTCAGTTCTTAGAATTGAAAAGTTTCATAAAACAAACAGCATTGTTTACTTTCATAACAGCATTGTTTTATTTAACAACACAGGTAACGGACCAATGAAGTTCAAGGGTTGAGAGAGAAGAAGTAAAATTGTAATCAGCTGTTCAGCCCAATTTAATTCTTGAATGGTGCAATTAGTGTTTGGTACAATGTTTCATTGCATCACTGTCAGTGGCAATGAGATGTTATAAATGAAAACATAACCTCTCTTAGAAGTTATGAGTAGTGATTTTTAGTAATTAACATTGTCCTAGGTAAAGTAGTGTACATAACTCGCGTTAATAGACCAGCTTTGACCAGATTTGAGGCACTCACCAAGGCTTGTACCTTAAATTTTCTACTCATGTTGTTAACACTATCTCTATAAGACCTCTGAACTCCCTCCACATTTTACTTCATTCACATACGTCAACTGGCAATGGACTAAAATACCAGTTAACTCTTGAGACCACAACATTTTGACAGAAGATTAGTTTTTTCTTCAGTTTTAGGGTACTTTAATGAAAACCAATCAGGTGAGAATTGGATAAAATGGCAATGGATTAATTAAAGAATACGGATAATCTCAGATTTGAACTACTCGCTTGGTTGCGAGACAGGAGCTTGTTGCTACAAGACCTTGATTTACAAGCCTCGTATTTGACATACAAATTAGATCATTTATCAAGCCATAACAATTGTTTCTATATAATTAAAATAGCATAAACATACCTTGCCATTGCCAGTAAACAAACTTAAGACAACTGTTTCAACAGTAATTTTCAATGCAGCATTTTTTTACTACAGTACAAACAACACTAAGAGACATGGTTCATGGGATAGCTGAAAGTGTAGAGTGTAGGAAAACATGTCCCAAAATTATTGCAATATGGCCACTACCACACTAGATCACAATTTCCGTTTAAAGTTGTTTATGTTGCAGTTAAAGGTCTTATAAATAACGTCACCAATAGGTTTTCTCAAACAATTGTTTATCAGTTAAGTTTTACAGTAACCATGTACGGTATTCAAAAGTTTAAAATAAAAAAAAAACAAATGTTAACTTTACTACCTTACTAGAATATAATTTTTGGCCAGCGTTGTATACTAGATTAAAATTTTCAATGATAAACAAAAATCTGTGAAACGATAAATGAATGACTATTCAAAACTCACTTAGCTGAAGCTATTATATCAGAATGGTCGTCAGACTGGAGTATCTTAGCTAGATGCGCCACTACCGAGTCCTCGTACGCTGCCATGCTTGTGACTGTCTCCTCCGTCACTCCCCCGCTCAACGTCAACTTGGTGGATGATCCCATGGATATGCTGCGCTCAAACGTCATTATGCTCCACCTGAAACCCAGACACACAAGGTTACAATTGAATAATAGTAAAAATGTTTATAAACGCAAGACATACAGGTATAAGTATTTAAAATTATTGTAAAATAATATTAAAACAACTTTGGTTCAATATCTATGTGTCAACTGTTTCAGAATTGTATTTGCATAAAGTTCACCACTATTTAGAAAAAAACCTTGGTTTAAATCGGTTTGTTTTTGTCTACTGTCATACCCAAACCCCTTAAACATTGGGAACAAGCTGGTCTAATAGTAGAGAAAAGAGCTTCCATCCCAGAGGTCCTATATTTAAATATTACTGATTTTCAATGGCCTTGGCTATGTGATGGTAAAGTGACACTCTAGGAATAGCATTAAGTAATATTATAAACAAACTTCAAGAGATGGCCTCTGGTGAACTCTGTGACGTGCTGGACAAATCGCGTATATTCACACTCCTTTTCATCCGTCTGCACACACTTGGTACATCTTTGTAGGACACTCGTTCTGGTAGTCACCATTTTCAACTACTCACTGACTGTTGGTTTGTGATGGAGTCTTTATCTAAGGAAGGCAATAACTACAGAAGGTTCTACTGTTATTGATATCGGCGATTCTAGGTATGTGGTGTAATCGCCGAAATCGATAACAGTAGAACCTTCATCAATGTCATAATGATGCTATCTGACAAAAAAGTCTAGTCCTACCTTAGATAGTAACAAGACCAGTAATTGTACTAGGAATGGACTTTAGGTACTTTTGGTTTGGGAAGGGACATAATTTATTTGCAGATGGCAATAATGACAATTCTTAGCAACTTGTGACGGTTAAAACAAATCCCAACCAGAGAATATTCTGAATTACATGTATTAACTTGAATTACCTGTCAAGTATTTTGGTGCTAGCTTTCTCATATCTGTCCAGTAGTTGGGGAATGTGTGTGTCGTCATCACAAGACGAGCCCCAACCCAGCACTCTGGCCAGGTCGTTGCCTGTCCCTAGCGGCAACACTCCTACTTGGCACTGCTTCTGTACAACAAACACAACACTAAGTTATACAGGGTGAATAAAAAGTCAAGACCCCCCCTCTAATATTTTTCCTAGTAAATATACAGAGATATCCTTTTGGTGGTCGTGCAATCTTAGCAGGAAGTTTCATTTTATGATTTTGAAATTTTTGAGTGTCCCTCCAAAAGGGGGGATTTGGGGGGCAACTCAAATATTTTAAATGTAAACCCCCATCAAGTGACACCTTATTTTGAAGTGTTTACAAAAACTTAAAGATTGGTGAAAACCAGAGTTTGCTATCTCTTCTCTATCCAAAATAGTATCCCGTCAAAATGTTGTGGAAAATCAACGGTAAAATTGGTTCATATTGGTAATATTGGCTACCATTTTGGATAGAGAAGAGATAGCAAACTCTGGTTTTCACCAATCTTTAAGTTTTTGTAAACACTTCAAAATGAGGTGTCATTTGATGGGGGCTTACATTGAAAGATTTTTAGTTGCTCCCCAAATCCCCCCTTTTGGGGGGGGACACTCGAAAATTTTAAATGATTATTTTACAGTTATGCTAAATCTTAGTATTAAGCTTACAGTTACGCTAAATCTTAGTATTACCTGCATGTTCAGCCGATCAATTTCTGAAAGCACCCATCCAACAGATCCGTCTCCGCTACACACCAATATCCGGAACGGGTCAAAGTGACGGAATAAGCGTAATCTGTAGACAAACAAGACTAGTAAACTACACTAGGATTTCTTGATTTATTGGTTCAAGAATCGCATGTCACATGTAATTTGATTTATCTGTCTGAAAAAAAATCTTGCAGCAAAGCACAGGTCACCTAGAATTTCCATTGTTTTCACACTTCCTCCAGTATTTTATCGTAATCTATCATTAACCATAAGCATAGCAAACTTAAACATCGATTACACATCGTCCATTAACAGCAACTTAAACCACAATGACAACCTCATGTAGGTTTAATCCAAATGTCTAATATCTCTTTGCTAAGGTAATGAATCAGAATGGGTCACCGGAATTTTATCCCCCTGGAATTTTACCCCCTGGGCAAAGCTGACGTCACTATGACGTAGTAACCTGAGTGGCCAAAAGTTTGTTCTCGGCCGGAATTTTACCCCCGCGGATTTGGAAGTCTAATGAAAATAGTCAGAGCGTGATTAATTAGATTAGCGATAAAAACCGGAATTTTACCCCCTGTCCATATAACTAGCGTTTAGGCAACTGAAGATGTACGGGCCAGATTTTTATCCCCGGAATTTTACCCCCGGAATTTTACCCCCTGGAATTTTACCCCCTGGCTGATTTTAGAAATTAAATTATTGATTTTCTTATTTCTGTTTTTAATTAATTGTAAACATTTCATTATTTAGTAGCCTATCTTTATTTATTTATTTTGTAATCTCAACTAATTAAACAGAATTCACTGTTTTATTTTGATCATATTAACCAACAGTTGGCTTCAAAGATCGAATCCTGACACTCGAATCTCAAAATTAATATTAAAACCCTGTTCGATTAGTTAATGTTACATATAAATTAAGATAGGCTACTTAATAATAAAATGTTTACCATTAAATTAAAACTGAATGACGACTATATAATCATTCTCACTAATTTATATCTGGCCAGGGGGTAAAATTCCGGAGGGTAAAATTCCGGGGGTAAAAATCCGGGCCGTACATTCTAGGTTTTTATAATTTGATGTGTTCTGATTAAACTCACAACCGTGAAAATATATGTTTAATTCCGCGTTTAATACATCGAGCTGATGTCGCGAAACTCAAAAATTCGCGGCCGGAATTTTACCCCCTGGTTTTAGTACCAAGCTATATAGTTGTATTTAACAACTGACCGAGTAAGCGGATGTACGTTACTGCTTTCTGTCAAACATGCTAACTGCTTTAAACCAAGCCAAACTCAAGGGGCAAGCATAGCATCTTTGATGACACGTCAACCATTTCAGTAACAAAATTAAAGGGAGAAAATATAATTTTTTATAGCTCCATACCCTACAGAATAGTTATTTGTGTAGCTAGAGGGCGAAAGTGGATTTTTCCTGCACACGAGAGAAATGTTTACGCACAAGCCGTAGGCGAGTTTGGAAAGTTTCTCGAGTGCAGCAAAGGCAGTTTGCACTTGTGTTACACATTCTATTTTTCCTACAGTTACATAGTACATATAAATAATTAGTCTTTCAAACACTATACAACACGTTTTTAGGTTAGGTTTAATCTAAACATATAACAAAATGGGAAACGCTGCACCAGCTGATCGTAGTCGTAATATCTTTAAGTGTTGCCAACTTATTTAAAAGGGTACACGGATTACGTTCATAATAAAAGCACACTGTTTTGTGTTGTTAGGTTGGAATACTGGTGAACACAAAGTAAAAACTCGGCAGTATTCGATACTATTGATAGGAAGTCGCTACTGTTTAAGTTATCCTGTCTAGGTGTTTCAACAAAATTTTTAAATATTTTTAAGAACTATTATGATGGTACTAGAGGGGGTGTGTGGTGTGGAGACAGTGTGACAGCAAATTTTGAAACTTCGACAGGTCTTAGGCAAGGATGTTCTGCGAGTCCTTTAATGTTCACTTTATTTATTAATGATCTCCCTGAGGCACTTGGTGGCGGCTGTAATTTTGGAGGGACTAGGATAAACATTCTTTTATATGCCGACGACGTTGTGTTGTTAGCGCCTACGTCCACCTGCTTACAACTTATGATAAGAAATTTAGAAACTTACTGTGAAACATGGAATTTGAGAGTTAATCTTGAAAAATCAAAAATAATTGTTTTCAGAAATGGGGGTAGATTGGCCTCGTCAGATAAATGGTGGTTCAATGGGAAACGTGTAGAAGTAGTAAACAGCTATAAATACCTCGGAGTGTTATTCACAGCGACGTTATCTTGGCAATCACATTTTAAAGATAAAGCGAGGCAAGCAAAATTAGCAATTAACTCGGTGTGGAATAACTTAATCAATAATAAATCTGTGCCTTTATCATCTAAAATTATGTGTTTTAATTCCGTCATAAAATCAATTGTTAGTTATGGGGCTCAGGTATGGGGTTGCTTCGAATCTGAATTCCTAGAATCCGTTCAAAAATTGTTTTTAAAGAGACTCTTCCGATTGCCTTATAACACGCCAAACTATGTGATTTATTTAGAAAGTGGATTTAAAAAATTGTTTTTTTATAATATGATTACGAATTTAAATTACCTATTAAAAGTACTACATTTCCCCGATAATAGACTTCCTTTGATTCTAGCCAAACAAATTATAAACCATAACTTAGATTGGTGCAGACAGTGGAAGATGCTAGGTGAGAAGGTAGGGGTTGATGTAGATTTTGGATCAGAGGCGGTAAAATCGAGATGTCTGACGGTGGTGGAAAAGCTGAGTGACGCATGGATAGGAGAGTGTATAGGGCGCGCACGCACGTCCATTCACCACAGTCAGCTGATCAGCCTCGACCTTGGCCTTGAACTTGGTGATAGAAGCTACCTTACTGATAACGCCGATGTCAGCTTCGTTTCCTGGATAATTAAGGCTAGGGCAGAGCTGCTCTATTTGAATGGTAAACCTTGGTCAACGGGAAATAAGTTCTGTTCTCTTTGTAATATGGGTGAAATTGAAACCACATTTCATTTCATCGCTATTTGTCCAATTTTAAGTAATCTTAGATTAACTTTTTTACACAATAGAGTCCTTTCTGAACGGGATTATATTAGTTTTTTAAATGGCAGGGATTGGCGAGCGTTAGTAAATTATTTAAAAAACGCCTGGCAATACAGGTGGATTTTAATACAAGAATTTAACAATTGAGGAAAAAATATCATAAAAAATTTAAATATCGTACTCTTCCAAACTTCAAAAAAAAACAAAAAAACAAAAAAAAAACCGATATAACTAGAGAAACTGGTTGGATTGTATTATATTTCTTAACTTTAAAATAATGGCCATAACTGTTAGTTTAAGGAAAGATTTATAATTTTATTTTAAAGGAATCCAAAAATTGTTTTGATTTAGTTTTAGACGTGCCAACCCGGCAGACGACCGAAAGGTCATTGCTGTAGCGCGTAGGCACGTCCCCTGCGTGGGACGAATTATTGTGCTCTGGGTATTTTGGAAATAAAGCGCTTTTTCTTTCTTTCTTTCTTTCTTTCTTTCACAAAGTAAAAACTGTGCACCAAAGTAAGGCTTTCTGTACTATAATCTGTGTAAGGAAGCCCACTTTGTTGGGTGACTGTAGGAAAAGTAAATATTTTGATGATAGCTGATATCAAAGAAAATTATTATTTCCCAAGCTCTAATTTTCAGCAAGGGAAAACTGATCAGCTGATTTTCCCTTTCTCTCACTAAGTTCTATATTGGCCCTCTCCACTCGCTAGTGTTTCTTTATCATGTATTTTCATAATTTAAATCATCTATTTTCATTGCTAATCAATCTTACCGTAATCAGAAATAGGCATAATTACGTGATGCAAATTATCGTTCATAACTTGTACCAAAAGTGATTTTCCAGCAATTGCTCTAATTATTCCTGTTCTTGGTTTTGCCTCGTACGTAAAGTTCACTCTGACATGCTTAACCTTGCACATGAAGTTTCGTGTTTCGATGTTCGGCTTTGCCTCACACATGTAACGTGAGTGCACACCAGACCTCTCACAGTATTAGTGATGAAACATACTATTTGGCTGTAACACTCTTGGAATATACCTATTCAACAATCTATATCATTTAGACATATTATTTTTTTGAACATAATCGGTACTGATCCAAATAGCTAGGATGTATACTTCAGTATCTAAAAGCCTACACTTACCCAAGCCCTGGCCCGGTGGAGATAAGGTCGAAGACTTGCGCTGGGTTCAACAGCTGTTTGAACCTTCGAAGGAACTTAACACCCTGGTTGTCGCCAGACTTAGAGTTGACAAAGACGAGCAGAGGTGAACAGTCTTGCGGTCGTATAGCTTCCCACGCCTCGTCACTACCTACAGTAAACAAAATGATTGGGGAGGGTTACATGTTGGATTGGTCATTCAAAACATTGAATGAATGATATTTATTGGCACAAAACTTACAGAGTATTACAGGATGTTTGTACAGGTGCTTCGTCATGAATAAAATTGTCTTTAAACAAGTCGTCTCTTTCCTTCTAGGTCAAACCTTTAAGCTTTCCATCATCCCTCCCACACACCATCCTAATTGATGTAATCCTTCTTTACCTTCTCTTCTAAATAATGACTGTTATTCACTGCAAGGACCGTATGATTAGATTGGGCACCGCAACTGGAAAGTTGTTTGACTTTTTTTGTCACATACAAGACAGATCAAATTTTTGTACTTTACCGATACTGTCTGATGACATTCATTGTTCGATTACCAAGGATGTCAGACTATTAAGTGTCGGATCAGGAGTCGACTGTACTTTTTGTTTCACACAGTTGTGCAGCTGATTGAATAAGTCGTATGGATGTAGAATGATTATTTATTTCGACAGTTTCGTTTTATCAAGGAATGTTTCGTTTAAACATTATCATGGAATAAAACGTAATTAAGGAATAGAGATTCTGATGTAGTCAATAGAAATAAAAAAAACTCATCGTAAATTCCACAAAAGTTTACCTATACTGTGCAATGCTGTTGGTGGAACCACGCTGACCCGTGATGGGCCGAGAGGACAGACTTCCAACATACCAGGTCTACATGCGGTGTGTACTGTAGCTTTGCACCATAGACATCGCCAGTCTTGTAATCTAGAATAGATACAAACTTAGTTATTAATTCTTTTCCTTTTTAAAACACTGCCTTCCAATCTGAAGGTCGCTAGTTCAATTCCAAGCAAGATTGTTACCAGACCCAGATCCAATTTGTCATTGGGCTTCCATTTAATGATGCTTTCTAAAAACACAACAGGAAAAAAATATATTTGGTGTGTCTCTTTAAACCTCTGCTGAAACCCATCCACATTTGCATCAGGTATGTGTGTGTGTGTGTAACAGATCAAGCAAAGCAAGAGGTGAGATGATATGTTAAACAACGAACAGTAGCCTACTGGCAAATTTTGATAGGTGGAATCAGGACACAAAGCCAAGACAATTCACTAATAGGTTTTACAGTCCGTAGCACTATTAAGTGCCAATTTGTCATCGATTACACTATTTTGCTACACTCCTTTCTTAAAATTTTGGTGGTTTTTGGGGTAGAAATCTATCCCCTCCACTTGATCCTACCTTTAAAATAGAACAAAAGCTGATGTTTGCCAAAACGTCAATCAGCTACAACATATACATTAAGCATAACAGTAATGGGGGGAATATCGATTAAGCCAACTAAATTTGTCGAACAGACTAAAAAATGTGTGGGCATGTTTAGACTGTTTAGAGTAATTTGTTGAAAAAAACTTATATGTATAAAGCATTTGTAACTTTTAAAATAGTTAAGTGATTGGGTTGCGAAACTGCATTTTATTTCAATCTGAGTTCATAATTCTATGCTTTCAATGGAAAAAGTAATTGATGCTGCTGATTAATTAACAATGCTTTAAAACCATGAAAAAATCATTCAAAGAAATAAACAGAAACCTTAGGAAATTGTTTATGAACAGTGGCAGTCCCAGGATTTCATTCTTTCCGGGGTGGGGTGGGGGGGGTTGATGACCACCGGGGGTGGGGGGGGGTTGATGACCACCTGGGGGGGGGGGGTTGATGACTACCGGGGGGTGGGGGTATTAAATATCCCCCAGAAAAAAGGGGAGTCCAAGGGTTCCCCCCGGTAAAAATGTGGAATTCAAAGCCTAATTATGTATTTTTATAGGTACCTATCACGTTATTTGAGCTCTAAAATATGCTCCAGCTAATCAAATAAAATCAAAATATCTTTATTTTCCTTACATGTACATGGGTACAAAAATAGTGTCAAGTATAAAGTACTAAACTAGCTTAGATATAAATACATTTTAAGTATGAATATTTATTCAATGAGTTCCTCCATTGTATAAGGCGCCTTTCCTATTAAATGTTTTTTTTTTTATTTAGATTTAAATAATTTCTAATTTGATTACTCCTTTAAAGAGGCAGGCAATTTCCTTAGAATTAGTGATCCAGCAAAAGTCGGTTTTTTTTAGAATTCCAGCTTATAGCTAATAGGCCTAGTATTTACCCATGTAGCACAGATGGTTGGGCCTACGTTGGCCAACTGTGGGACAGTTGGTCGATGGTTGGTTGGAGCTTCCACAACCAACCAACCGTTGTCCAACTGTATATCTCGTAGTTGGGCCAACCAATATTTACAACTGTGGACCAACATTGGTTCATTGTTAATGAAATACATTAATATGCATTGCTGGGTATCATACATCAAGCCAACCGTTGTCCAACCGTTTTTCACTCCGTTGGACCAACAAAAGATACTTTTGTTGGACCAACGATGGTCCATAGTTGAGTTTACACGACTTTCATTCTCTGGGTCTAGCTTTCACAACATAATTATAATAAAATATCTGGTTTTACAATACCTTTATCAGTTCCAAAAGTTTCCAAAAGTTTTTGGAACTGATAAAGGTATTGTAAAACCAGATATTTTATACAGTTCCGGGGCTACAACAATGAATTTTAATAATTATAATAATGCAAATATTTTTTAAAATAATATTCTTTAACTTATTTGCAACAATTTAAGGGGAAAGAGTAATTAATCATATAACAGGCAATTATAATAGCATTAATAATCTAACAGTAATTAATTAATATATATTCAAATACCAGTATCCTCTCTAACTAAAAAAAAAAAAAAAACTACTTATGATGCCTTAACAGATTAACAGAATCATATTATACTGTGTAGTATCAAAAATGTTTGAAGTATTGCGACCATTGCAACTGTCGGCTACTCTTTCACCACTTGAAAACTCTCTATATCAACAATCACAGATAGCTCAGTGGTAAAGTAAGAGGCTCATAAGTCGAAGGACCCGGGTTCGAGACCCGTCTGGGCCGAAAAATTTTGTTCTAGCTTTTTTTCAAAATTTGTTTTTATGAACTATTTAATCAATTTACTCAACTAATAATTATGCTTTTCGTACTAAATCTTTATTATTTTGAGTGAAATAAAACGGTTGGTCAATGGTTGGATGGAAAACAGTTTAAAGAGGTGACATTTCTACCGTTGGCCAACTGTGTGGCTCCACAATTTACCAACGTTGGCCCAACCATCTGTGCTACATGGGTATGTTAGCTAATAAAATTAAAAATACTTCGGGGGGGATATATCCCTCCCATACCCCCCTAGGACCGCCACTGTTGATGAAACTCTAGTTTCTAGAAGCTTCTAGAAATGTTTCTAGGGATAAAAACTTTGCTAAAGAATTTCCGTCTGTATTTTTACACTGGATTTGAACCATCCAATCTCAAACATCAATGAACTGAAACGGGGAACATAAAACTTGATAGCTCTTTGTGTTTTATGAGTCAGACATTTGGGCAAGATGATGTGCAGAATGTCTATCACAAGGACTGCAGTACTTGTGATTTTATCTATACTCATCAAATAAAACACAATAGGTTTTTTTTCCTAGGACGCTAGCTTTGACTATTAATCCAATAGTCAATGACACTAGGAACAAGCCCGGGATTGTTTTTCACATTACTTCAGGCTAGACCTAGGGATTGCGGCATTATCACTTAGATAAAATCCATTGGTGGTTTGGCGGGATTTGAACCTGGGACCTCAGGGACTGAAGTCCCGCGCTCTAACCACTCCCCCATAACACACAATAGTAAAAACCGTTTAGTTGATAAAAATGTAAACTTTATTTTAGCCCATCAGTATTTTGAAACGATTCCATAAGACATTTTATACATTAACAGCAAAATTTGATGGTTTATTAAATAAATAAATAAATAAAACCTCACAGTTGTTTTTTCTTGGAAATAAGCATATATATTTTTTTTCCTTCACTACATTTAATTGGATTCAATCAATATAATGTGTGAGAAGACAACAACTTTATTATCTACAGTCTTAGAGTGTTTGGTTGACATAGTTAATGGTTTTAAAGGGTTTTCTAAAATTTCAAAACTATTGACCTTAAATTAGCTGATCCACTGCTTAAGATACCGGTACCGTACTTTTATTTCTGAATAATATGGCCAATAAAAACACCGATGGTAATCTTCTGAGATCAGACAATCCCTTGTAAAATAACTGTCTGCTCTGACCACTGATGTTAATTTAAAAAATCCATTTAATGAGTCAAACAGCACAATTGGTACAGAGTATTCAACACTTGTACAATTGTAAGTCCAAACATTTGTACACTCACCTCAGAACGGAACCGCACGTTTTTTCACACACAGCACACTTTGCCGAGACGGGCAGGTTCCCCTCCATCCATTGATGTGGCATTGATATGTTCTGGAGCAATTTAAGACTATTAGACCAATATTTTTTTTATATTGATCTAAAACTGATTATCAATTATCAATTAGAAGAGTTTAATCTGGACAAACAAAAGTTAATGCACTAAAGAATTAGTTAACTCATGCCTTACCATAGTTCCATGCTATTTTGTAACACTTGTTAGTAAATGTTTTAATAGGAACAACTGAATAAAAGATTGATTGAAATGAGTATCAGTTGTTGACAATGAAAGGAGGCAAGGACAAAAGCATAACTACCAATTTAAACACAAGTGCTAACAGTTTTTTGTAACTAAAGAAAAAGATATCACTATCGGCATAACATGATAAAAGGACATGGCAAAAATGCACAAAGAGTGAAAACAAAGACAGTACGGTACCCTAATTATACTAATAAGCTAAAATGTTATCATCTATTCAAGGTTAAATCAGCTTGTTAGGCTTAAAACTTGCAAACGCAAACCAACAAAATAACAACTTAAAAAACATGATATCTGTTCCGTAAAGTTGAGCATTTAGGCAATATTTAACAGATTATACTTAGCCTCTCAGCTTTTGGAAATTTTACTTAACAATTTGAATAAGTGAATATGTAGATTTTTTAATGGTCTTTAAGCCTCAGATGCAAGGCTCATAGTTTGGACGTGACGCGCAATAGGCCCGAGGGATATTTGAGATATATCCTCTTCTCCCCCCTTCATTGCGGGGAATTTTTCCCATACCGCCCTTAAACACACCTAAAACCTCTTGCGCTCCTGGGTCGAGGCTCATTTACTGAAGCGACCTTGTCAGTAAATGGACGAGCCTATCTTGATAACATTTACCAAACATGTAATTGTGTTGACAGAATCAATAATTTCCTTTAATAAAAAGTAGTCATACTGAAATTTCCAAAAAAACAAAAAACACTCTTAATAGAGTCCAAAACAAGATACTTTTTTCAAAGACAAAACACCTCAAAGAAGTTTACCAATATACTAGTACAAGAGACGATTCAAAAATATTAATTTTTATTAATACAACCTGGGTGAGGCAGACATTAAAACAAATTGAACAATAAATTATTTAATTCTATGTAATCCTTACCCCATCTTTGTCTTCTATGATGTCTTTTCCGATGCTTGCCAATGTGGTCCATTTGCAGTTGCTGATGGCTTTTGTAGAGCATCGTTTGTGTACTTTGCATTTGCAGACTACGCAGCTGTACCCATGTGACGTGACTCCTAACAGAACCAATAAAACGTTAACGTGAAGACTAGAGAAAATTAAGAGAAGACATTTAATTAGGTATAGGGTAGAGGGATAAGTCAATAAGTCATTTAATTAAGCTAGCGTAACAACCCTGAATGATATTTACTGATAAACCTATAGACATTCAACACTGGTCTTTTTTGTTAATGTCCTTGTAGGGTAAGGATCCAAAACAGGCTTCAGAAAATCTAGGCCTACAGCATATTGCGTTGGAAGCATGGCTGACATTAGTTATCAACAGATATATGTAGTTGTATGGTTTGCTACCTACCAGAAAGCGCTTCTCGGCAGACGTTGCAGTACGTGGGGCGAGCATGGGAGGTGGCCACCCAGCTGTGTTTGCCCGACAACAGGTCATGGGCATCCGACGCAATTTGCTGAAACATCCAAGAAACTCATTACTGCTATGAGAAGGGTTGTCCCATAGATAAAACATACTCCCTTAGTAGATTTCTCATCCTTATGGAACAGCTGAAGACAATTTTATTGTTAGTTCTGTACGGTTTATGTAGAGGTCATGTTTTGTTTACAATTTGTTTCCCGTTATTACAGCCATTTAAAACCTCGTTTAACCAAATAATACGATCTAATCATAAACAATAACTTGTCCCCTAGTTATATAACCAAACAGTAAAGCACAAATCAAGAAATTAACCCTAAAATAATAGAAACAAAGTTTCGTCGACACTAGCGCCCATGTGTCACGTACATGAACTAGACACAAAAAATGTGCTTCAAAATTTACAATGGGATGAGAAGTCTACTGTGTTGGTTAGTCTATGGTTGTGCTTATCCATCTACCAGACTTAAAACCTTCCATATATTTACAGTAGCCTATACTAAACCAAAAATAAATGTCCAAGTATGTCAATTACTAGCAAAGGAATAATACCTCCTTCGCTATTTTCAAATCATTCATTACAAATTTCATTTTTGGGGAGTGTATTTTACTCATTATAAGAATGCCTAACTGGAATTATATGACTAAATTTAAAATGTACAGATTACCATCATAAATATGTACGGTACATACTTTGTAGTTTAACATAATATAAGACTACCGGTAAGTGATATGAATGACGTTTTGATGTCAATTAGACTAGGAAACTAATCAATCAATCAAACTAGGGCTCTTTTTAAAGTGTATATTAATCATATCATACTAATATTAAAAATGTGAAAGTTTGTGTGTTTGTTTGTTTATTTGTTTGTTTGTTTGAAGTTCAATCACACATTAACTACTAGTCGGATTGTGTTAAAATTTAGTATGATGATAGCTCACATTCCTGATTAACATATAGACATATTCTTACCTCAAGAATCCTTTCGGGCTCCGCCCCAGTGGCTCTAGAGTTTCGCATGTTAACCTTATGAGTATCTATAATATTAAAACGAAACAGTGTTTTTTTACTTCACGATTCTGAATCAACCACTCGACGGATTTTCATGATTTTTGTGTTGAAAGAAAGATAATTTTGAGAACTAGGGAATGTCGAAGCCACAATTTTAGTTTAGGGTCCCAGTTTTTTAGAAATTAAGTTTTAATTTTTAAAAAGTCTAGCAGCCGACACTAAGATTCTAAACTAGCTTTTGGCATAAAATAATTTGCTTAATATAACAGCTGTAAACATTCAGCTTTTTTGTCACAAATTCAGCATTTGGATAAAAATGTAAAGACATACTTAGGGTTGACTTATTTATACTATGTGTAATCATTGATACGTTCAATTCTTCTGTAAGAGGAAGACAGATTAATTTAATATACATAGTAAAATACTAGGATGTTCAAATAATTTTTTAAAGCCATCTTTGTAATCTTCGATTTGTTTTAGTGCAATATAATTTGTTTTAACTAACAGCTGGTTAGTTATAAAAATGCCATATAGAACTATGAGGTTATTTACTCTGATTTTGTCATTGATTATAGGAAATAAGTAAGATTAGTAGACCACCGAGATAAGTAACACCATTGATGTGTACAAGTCGAGGCTCTGTACACAAGTTAAATAAAAAAATATACAAATTATTTTACTGCTAAACTTTTTTGGAAAGGGTAGGAAAATCACAATTTTTACATGTTTTAATTCATCTTGGCAGTTTTTTGTTTACAATCAATGTTTTTGAATGCTTGAACTTTGTTTGGATTAGGCCCGGAAATATTGATGTCATAAAGATGGAGATCAAGAATCCTCAGGAATACGAATTTAAATAATTACCACCACAACCTCAGACGGGTGTTATCCAAAGATATACAGATGAATGACATAGATTGAACACAACGTCATCATTGACCTAGGATACTGCAATTAGACTAACCATCCTTTTATGAAATCTAAAAAAGTTGTTTGGCGTGTGTTTAGTTGTGGTTACAATTGGAGGCGCTGAATATTTTATAGTTTAAATAAATGAATATGGGGAATTACGATGTACATTGATTCAATGAGGGTGGTTTAATTATCAAAGATATTGGAACTAACGGAATGGACAATAAACATAGACAATTAATTACGTCACTAGCTTTAATAGCGTTTTTACTTTTTAAATTCCTTCAACATGTGACCATCGATCTCTGTGACCAGTTCTTTTGTTCAAATGAATATTATTTTTGACTCAGCTGTTTACAAAACAAACTAATATGTTGTTGTGTTTACTTTTCTTTGTTTACACATATTTATATAGCAATTGATGCAGTGAAATTGACATAAATGATGTGTGTGGACGATTCGTTAAATGATGTCAGGACACCAACGTTATAATTATGTGTACTGTGAATTTTATTGGATGCTTTAGTTTTATTTTAGGAAGTTTCAATTCAGATCCACTGGAAATTGTGTATAGTATGAGTAGGCCTAATTGGATTGTGGTGATATTGATTATGGAAGAGGTAGTTATGCGATGGAAGGTGATATCATTGACTAGGCCTATACACTTCTCCATTGATAATTACTCTTTCTACTGTAGGCTGCAATAAAATTTGCCTTTATACGTGTTAACTAGCTGTTCTGAATTATTGGCCTACCTACACACCGTTTTAACTGACTACTCCCGTACGTAGGACGGGCTAACACCTCGTTCATATTTAAAAGGAATTAAATAATTTTGCCAGCTGTTTCAACTACACAATTTGTTTCTATGATATTCAATAGCATTAAAAGGTTACACGGTTTACCAACAGGGTGCAGCACCATTAGTTCTTCATACATTTATGACAACAGCTAATTTGAACCATCGATGTATAATAACTCTACAGTTATTATACATTTTGAACCAAGCAGCAACAAAAACCTGAGTGTGAGAACTTTACTTCTTTCTATTGTTTAGGTGAAGTGGTAGAACATTATGGCTATGGTATATGTTCTGTATACTATAGTATACCGTAGTTTATAGTAAACCAAATTTTCTCAAAACGTGTCCTCTCTAATTGCAAATGCAAAGCACGAGTATTTAACTACAATAAGCATTGTATACCAACCCCGTACGAAGGACGGGTACTCAGCTAGTATCCCTCCGAGTGTCACGTGTTTTGGCCTTAATGTCAGCCTATTTTTTGCTCATTTGCAAGGTTTTATTAAAACTGATCTGAGAAGCTTAAAAACAATGTTAATTATACTGTTCTATATACCATTTTGTTTGGAAAATCTTGGGCTTCAATATTATATATAAAACATAAGGAAGATTTAAAAAAAAAAAAATTTTTTTAGGTAAAAAAATGTATAATTTCGAAAATTTTCAAAAAAAAATAAGTTTGCGCTCAATTAATTGTATAAATTATAGGCCTATAAATATTTGAAAATAGCCACTTTGCTCTAAATTTTATGAGGATTACAAATCTATAATAATATAAGGAAGTAGATTTGCAAATAAAAAAGTTATGGGCAAAAAACAGATTTCAGTACATAGCGTTTAGCTAAGAATGCATAGCCCAACCATAGCTAGGAATCTGGCTGATAATTTACATCAATATCACTACCTACTTCTTCAGGATCATCAACCAGCACTTCAAAACCACTTAAATCTTCTTATATCCACGTATATCACTACTTTTGATTTTTAACACTAAAACAATGATAAACGTAATAAAACACATCAGTCATCGGTCCGAGGGTAACCTAGCTGTTTACAAATACACGCACGTCAGCTCAGTCAGCTGTCTGCTACAATATTTTCGGAACTAAAATGAATAGTGCTTAGAGACAGACCTCTGCAGAAAGCTTAGAATATTACGGACAGAACGATACCTAACTCAATCCAGTACAGTCCGATTCAGTTAGTCATAGAGCCTTCGCCGTAAACAGTGTTCGCGAGTCGCTGCAGCGACGCACGACACTATACAAAGTGCGTTACGCGTCGCTGCAGCGACGCATGACACTCGGAGGGTTAATAGGATAAACATAAAAAATGTAAACAGATACTATGCATGGCTTGTATAAAGTTGGATTGGCAACAGCTGGTATTTTACTCATAAACATAACCTAACTTACTTGGTAATACTCCCTGGTGGCCGCCGCACTTTTGAGGGCAGCGAGATAATCCTCCATGGACTGGGCCAACTGTTTGTCTGAAAAATAAATACACAATTAAAACTTATGTTAATTAAATAAACTGCTGGTCATTAGTATCATCCAGATGGGCCAGGTATGTTTTTTTTTTGTTGGCATAACAATTATTCATATCAAGCAAGAATGTTTATTTATTTTTTATTTATTTATTTAACATCATCACATTACATCAATACTCTTGACAGGTGATTTGTCATTAAGTCTAATAAAATTATACATTGAAAAATCTACATTATAAAAATCCACATTATAAAATACAAAACAAATAAAGCAATCAATACAAACCTATGGGAGAAGTAATACCTTTTAAATTGTAATCACATCTCCAAGATATTCTTCTAGTGAGTAAAATTCCCTCTCCAAAAGGAAACTTTTTAAAGATGATATAAATTTAGAAACTGAGGCAATGTTTTTTATCCCAGCTGGTAGTTTATTGTAAACTTTTGGCCCTATATACTGAGGAGATAAATGAAATATTTTAAGCCTACGTTGAATTGGTTTTATAATATTTTTGAATCTTGTGTTATGTGCATGAGATGGTTGACAGTCCATGAATGTATCGAAATCACTTTTAACCATTAATGCCAATTTGTATATATAAGAGCTAAAAAAGGTCAACATCTTAAACTGAATAAATAAATCTTTACAATGTGTTCTATTGGGAACTCTGGCCATTGTTCTTACTGCTCTTTTTTGAAGAACAAATATTTTTTTGGCCTGACTTGATGAGCCCCATACAGTAATTCCATAATTCATAATCGATGAAAAATATGCATGATATACTGCTATTTGTGTTTTTAAATTAGTAGTATCCCTGATTATCGTAAGAACAAATGTTGCTGAACGTAGTCTTTTTGATAGGTTTTTAATGTGATTTTGCCAATTTAATTGTGAATCAATATCAATTCCCAGATAATTTATTGATTTTTGTGAGTGAATTGAATTAAAGTTTGTATTTAAACAGATTTCTTGGTTAATATTGGATGCAGAAAACTGAATTAGTTGGGTTTTTGCCACATTCATGGACAGACCATTTACTGCAAACCAGTCCCCGAGAAGTTAAAATTCCTGAGTTATCGAGGCTTGTATGATGTCATTGTTCTGTCCTGTACAAATTAGAGCTGTATCATCTGCATATTGAAAGGTAGACATCTTAGTAGCTTTACATAGATCATTAACATATACTGGGTTAGTAAAAAGTGTGGAGACCCCTTGTTATTTTTTTAACGGCCCATACTAGAAAAACTAAACTCGGCACACCATTATGGCATGTTATGAAGTACTTTTTGGGCATGACTGCCACTTGGTGTTCATCCCCAAAATGGGGGATTTTGGGGGAAACTAAAAAATTTCAAATACAAAGACCCATCGAGTGACCCCTCGTTTTGAAGGTCCTGGTAAAAGAAAACCAACAACGCAGACTAGAGGTCTCTATCTCGGTTCAGTACAAAATGGCAGCCAATTGAAATTCTCATAAGTTCCCAAACCCAAAATGGGGGATTTTGGGGGAAACTCAAAAATTTTAAATGATAAGCCCCATCGAGTGGCCATTGTAAATTTTGAAGCTCGTTTTTCATGTCTAGTTCATGTACGCCACACTGGGCGCTAGTGTCGACGAAATTTTGTTTCTATTATTTTAGGGTTAATTTCTTGATTTGTGCTTTACTATTTGGTTAAATAACTAGGGGACAATTTATTGTTTATGATTAGATCGTATTATTTGGTTAAACGAGGTTTTAAATGACTGTATTTTTTAACGGGAAACAAATTGTAAACAAAACACAACCTCTACATAAACCGTACAGAACTAACAATAAAATTGTCTTCAGCTGTTCCATTAGGATGAGAAATCTACTAAGGGAGTATGTTTTATCTATGCTATCAGGCTTAAAAAGTACTTTATAATATGCTAAAAAGGTGTGTAGAGTTTAGTTTTCCTAGTGTGAGCCGCTAAAAAATTTACAGGGGGTCTACAGCTTGGAAAGCTGTAAGTTAAATTCAACTTCTGAGAATTTCAATTGGCTGCCATTTTTTACTGGATTGAGATAAAGACCTCTAGTTTGCGTTGTTGGTTTTCTTTTACCAGGACCTTCAAATGAGGGGTCACTCGATGGGTCTTTGTATTTGAAATTTTTGAATTTCCCCCAAAATCCCCCATTTTGGGGATGTACACCAAGTGACAGTTATGCCCAAAAAGTACTTCATAACATGTCATAAAGTCGTGCCGAGTTTAGTTTTTCTAGTATGGGCCGTTAAAAAAATAACAGGGGGTCTCCACACTTTTTACTAACCCTGTATAATAAATAAACAAGGGCCAAGAATGGAGCCCTGAGGAACTCCACAGGGGTTTATGTTCCACTCTGATTTATAATTTCTCTGCATTTTTTGTACAATAAGTCTTTGTTTTCGGTTTTTTTAAATAGGATCCAAACCACTTTAATTCAGTGTTTTTTTTCATGCTTACTTAGTTTTTCTAAAAGTATATCATGATCCACACAGTCAAAAGCCTTGGATAAGTCACACAGCACACCCACATTCTTCTGCGAACCATCCAAGGCTTCCGCAATGCAATGTTTAAGGTGACAAAATTTTAACAAAAGAGTTTGTACAGTACATAAATTTTGGATTTTTCAGATACAAATTACCTATTAGGCTTACGTTTTTTGGGCTGTGTGACAGAAATTTGATATAGAATTGCACCGGATAAATGGATTGCTGAAGTCAATTTTCCGTATCAATCAGTATTCAGACTTGACAATATTAACAAGCTATCGGTTGGACTTGATTCTACCTAGAATTTACTCTGTGAGACACATGCTATAGGCCTAATTGAATACCTTTTACCCAATAATGCTTCCTGACCATATATTATTTCATGGCACACAAGCTACAATTAAATTGTAAGTGGCCTTCTCCTCCGAGGGCTTAAATCCCATTTATCAGCAGGGCTGTTCATGGGGAGCATCAGAGCACGCCCTTTTCCTCCTGATTTTGTTTCCTGATATAGTAGGCCTACCTATTTCTATTTTTCTGTCTGTAACTCTATAACTATTTTAGGTCTAGGATCTAGGCCTACTGTAGGAATGATTTTCAAATCATTATAGGCTTTTAAAATGATCCTGAGGTTTAAAATTGGCTACTTCTAAACCCTCCCAACACAATCCCTGTGGCCTCTTGATTGGTAACAATGCATTTTACCTTACCTCAATGAGTTAAATTTTACCATCTTTGGGGGTTTTGTGAGTGAAGGTTTTGTTGTGTTAATAGGGAAAGGGTAATGTGAGGGTTGAAGTGTGGTTATCCATAAACTGCTGGTAGGCCTATGTAACTTGGTAAGTTATATAACATAGCCAAAAAATACTAATCGGTAGGCTACATAAATGATTGGTATCTACATCACCATTTATGCTTAACTTACTGCATATAAGTTAATCCTACGTTGCTTGGTTTTGTATTATCTCTCTCGACCAATAAGCCTACTTTAAATCTGGTGTTACACACATCAAGCATAAGGAAACTAAGTTTTTTTTAACTAAAAACAATATTATAATGTACCATTGATTAGACTAAGTTTCTTCAATCAACTCCCCTCCCAGCTGCCAAAAAGACCCTGGACAGCAGAAAGTTTAAAAACATCACAGGAAATTTCTTTTGTAAAACCCCTTACTGTTCAATAAAAGAATTCCTGGAAGGTAGTTTGGATGGGCTCAGTATTAGTAAGTTAATATTATATCAACCGCCATAAGTACCTACTTAAAGTACCTTTTCTTCAAACATTCTAAAATTTGTGAGTTTTTTAAAATGTGCGGGAAATAAAATTAGTTTGTATTGACGCTGACACAGCCTATTCCTGTCATACGATGGGTCAATGGCCAAGAAGATGGTAATAATAATGATAATAATAAGTTTAGGCTAGGGTAATAATTATTATCTCGCTCAGGCCCACCCAAAAAAATCTGTAACTTTAACATTCAACTATAGGCCCTACAGCTATCAAGTGCAACGAGTTAAAAGTAAGCGAACTATAGTTATATAGTACAGTAGCCTAACAGTAGCCTATTTAGTCAATGATATCATTTCATCCTAACCTAACGTCTGCTCTTAAAATCTGAGCGCAAGAACCTAGACCCGTTAAAAAACAAAGTCAGATTTTCACTGATAAACTAAATTATGGTGACAGTGTGGATCTTGTTAGCATGCAATTGAAGATCAATAACCATAAACAAAAAATCTAGAGTGCTAGTCTATTCGAATTAATTATTTGTAATTGATAGTCTATGGTTACGCCCAGTTTATTGAGCATTAATCATACCTGGATAAGGCCTCTTTTTCTGCTGTTTCATTGTAAATATCGTTGATAGATTTGTAGCACTTATTTATATTATAATCGAGTTTCTAAATAAATGTTTTCGGGAGAGATGTTCAGTAGGCATTGCTTATCTGGGTCATGATGACAGTATACTTTTTTGTTTGGAAGAACCCGTAATAATTTTCTACCATCTATTAGGATAGCAAAGGAAACACTAATTATGCACATATGACAGTAAGCTATAACGTTTATTTAACACTAATCTTTTAAAATGAGCTAAAACTACTGGAACACAAATTATCGACACACTCCCGCATGTCATGTTTGTTTTGGTACTGAAACTGAAGAAGAAGAAACATGCGCACTAGCAGACGACGACACACCTCCAATCACTGGGCAGTGAATAGTCTGCCGTCTGCTAGGATAGTCGTGTGGTAGAGTGCAGACAATCAAAGCAGCTTTTGATCTCGTAAATTATTGAATTGTTGTCACATACTACCAGAGGTGCCCATCCCCCCCAAACCCAGAGGCGCAATCCCCCCCCCCCCCAAGCCAAAGGAGTAGTTCTCCCCCTCAATTTATGCTGCCGTCTATTTAAAACTACCCTCCCCCCACCAATTTATCTGAAAATTTTCCCTTTACCTCATAAAACGAGCATTCCAATTAAGTATTTAGTAAACTTGAGGTAAAGAAAAACAAACTTGCTGATAATAAAAATAAAATGTTTAATAGGAAACGTTATAACAACATTTAACAATACTTCATTAGGTATATCTAACTAATGGACAAATTAGAAGTGTTTCAATTTACATCTCAGAATCTCTATTGTCAACTAACATGTGCTCAGTATTGCAATAGACAACGTCTTCAAAACGTACAACAATATAGGCCCTACTAGGTGAATTACTCTACTCCAACACAGTATTGTAACTGTACAATATATTAGGTGGCGTTAATTTTTACAGAAAAAGAATCTCAGAGAAGAATTTTAAGAAATCAAACAGCTTTAAAAATGCATTAATAATACTTAGGCAAAAAGTTGTTTTTTCAAAATTATAGACAGAGTCACGAAATAAGACAGACTTGTTGCTCGCCACTCCCTGGCTCTACAAACACCGCCACTCCAAACAACACACTCCAAAAACTCGATTTTACTCTACAAAAATCGCCAGGCAAAATACACACAAAAGGTTTTTGTGACGAAGTAATCTTATAATTAATTTTGATAGCCCCAGGATTGCCTTTTATGACTAATAATGGTAGAAACGCATCTTGTCAGACAATCTGTTTATACACAAAACACGAAACGATAACAGATAGGCCTATCAATTCACGTGTGTATATTGCCGCGGGCAGGACTGGAAGTAAACTGAATCAGGTTATGACGGAAAGACGTGGTCTCTGGATTGTCGTCTGTGTTAACAAAAGCTGATATTGGACTAGTTGTAGTGACGGAGGAGAGTGTTGAAAATATAATGGGATTCATAATTGAGTTTTCCATTTAAAATTATTGACAATAATAACCAATTTATCCTGCTGGATATAAATGATGGTCTCGAAATTCTACAGTACTGCTCGAAAGGAAATTTATTAAATACTTTGATACATAAACCTAGGGACAGCGCAAAATTTTTGAGTGAAAACACTCAATTAATTATGAATCCCATTATACTTTTAACACTCTTCTCCTTCTCAGTCACTACAATTATAGTCCTATATCAGCTGGTGAAAACGCAGACGACAATCCAGAGACCACGTCTGTCCGCCATAACCTGAACCTGATTCAGTTTACTTCCAGTCCTGACGACGGCAATATATACGCGTGAATTGATAGGCCTATCTGTAATCGATTCGTGTTTTGTGTGGTGGAGGTAAAGAACCACCAAAACATATGTAGCAAATAAAATTCGACACTGACACTAGTATATTAAGGATTGTCTGACAAGGTGCGTTTTTACCATTCTTATCTTAATTACGAATGGCAAAATGTTGTTGGCGTTGATAGTGAGCTACACTTAGAAACACTATTTCGGGCTGCTTATACAAAATTATTCATTCATTTTGACAGCTAGCAAAAAAATATCCCCCCCAAAATCCCCTCAAAAAAAGTCCCCCCCAAAAATTCCTGTGGCGCAAACGCGCCACAGTACCCCCCCTCTGGGCACCCCTGCATACTACATGCAATTAATTTTATTGTTAGCCTAAATTAAATGTTTAGTTAGTAATGCATACCACTACATATTCTATTGTGTTTTGTCAATTAAATAACAACGCACTGTTTGAGATCAATAGCTTACGTTATTTAAAGTAGTTTTGCAATTAGGTATGGGGAAAAATGAACTAATACTAAGAATAAGAAATTAATGTTTTAGTCCAGAAAGACAAATACTAGCGTATAGGCACACATGTAAAATGTAGATCACATGGTGGAAAACAAGTTAATAATAGGTTATATAACTACCATAATTCATTAAATTCATCTTTTGCCAGGTACATAATGAATGAATTCCCATGATCTCTAGAGAATCTATTCCGCTGTGGTAGTACACACGATTACTAGAAAAGGTAGTAAATATTATTTAGTTTTAATTGTGTTGTAATAAAATTTAAAAATAATTCTTATGCAGTTTATTTGTATAACTATTCAATAAATTATATATAACTATGAGAAATACCTGAATTTGAGCGTGTGCTCAGTTCAATATAAACAAGTATATTACTGTGAATAATAGATCGAAACATTAGAATAAATGTACTAACATGCTGCATCTACTGATGCTACTTATGACATATTTTATTTTTGTTTGAATAACAAACTCAAGTAACCTAAAAACAGTTTTAATTCTATGTGGTAAAGTTTAATCCCGGATGTCTGTGAGGTACGTCCTATTGCATAGTTAACTTGTTTGCCTTTGTCTGGTGGTATGCGGGCGCGGGATTCTGTTCCTTTGAACCCCAAGACATTGCTTTGGTTTGTACCTTGCATTTGCATAGCTACTTAGTTTAGAATAGATTAAACAACACTTTGTGCTGCATACTAATTTTTAATTGTTAGGTGATACAGTTTTAGTGTGCGTATTTTAAAATTTTATAATTTGTTACGGGTTTTGTTGAAGATGCATTTGATCGAAGTAGTTATCGAGTAATATTGATTTTTCCAACGAAATAATTATATTATCACGCAAAACGTTACTTAATGGATTAATTTGAAAAAGAAGTATCAAAATCAAATTACTGCCTGGCCAAATTAGAGTTCAGTTGTCGCTGACATACTTAACGAGTTTTCATTCGAACACATTTGGATTTCAGTTTGATTGCCAATTGACTAAAAAGAGTTTCAGTGAGCCAAATGTTAACTGGTAAATTCACTTTAAACTTTCGCAATCAGTTAGGTGACGTTTATGGATTGATCTAAGTACTACGCTTCCTAATGGGAAAATGAATTCAATTTTCGAATGGGATAACTTTTGACATGTGATGAATTACTAAGCCGCATCATGCATTAGAACTCACATCGTTTTACCTCTGGTGGTAAAGCTGTTGTTAAAACATGATTCCAATAGAAGTTTGTATGCCTTACTGTTGTTGAGATTACCAAATACAGGGAGAATCTACAAGCAAAATAATTAATTCGTAGTTTTTTTTTTGTAAAAAATGGGTATTACAAAGAAAATCAAAGTTAACCATGGCATGGACAAACATTCATTTTTTGAATGACACATTCGCCTCTGGGCTGGTACCAGAACTTAAAGATACTCTTAAAAATAAACGTTTAACTATTGTATTCATAATAACACAAAAACCCGTAAAATCTAAACTGTGAACTGTGCAAGAAAACTTAGGTCTTTTCAGCGGCACGTACCAACTTAGATTTTTTTTTGTTGGGGAACGGTCCAAACCCAGAACTTGTTACTATGTAATCATCAGGTAAACTGTTTGATCAATATCAACAAAGTGGCTTTGCTTTGCTTGTTATTTTGTAGGCCTTTTTGGCTAAACAGTGGAGGTCAAAATCAGACCCCTCATTGTGGCTATGATAGTTTTTTCATATACTTTGTTAACTGGTATTAAATTTAGACAATTAAAATGTCAGGTTTGCAATTAGAGAAACAATTCACGAAGATAAATTTGGTAAACGAATAGGGGGACATATGCACAGGGCGATACTTTTACATTTCATTTTGCTGTCGAATAACTGACCGGATTGAGCAGTCGATCAGTTTGTTTAGGGTACAGATAAATGCAGGTTAACTGTTTCAAATGTGTTACAGAGTGTAATCTTAATCTTGTTCTTTAGGCGAGAACAACCAAGAATGACAAAGAGATATATACAAGACTTGGAGACCGGAGATTGTGCCAATTTGGCACCGAGAATCTTGCAACGTCGTCACGTCGTGCGTCTTACATCACTATAATGTCACGAATCCAAATCAGATCTTGGTAAAGATTTCTTTTTTTAAATTAAACATGTTAAATAACTTCTCAATTTGAATGGAAGTTTTATTGTGTTTAGGCAATTTAAGAAAGTACGTCTAATAACACTTAAATCCCGTATTATATTTCACTACAATACAGTAATCGTCTTAGCCATTGGCAGTAGCCCATAGCTTATTACTAGACTTCCCATGTAATGTAAAATTTGAAGCCACGAAAATATGTTAAGTTCAGGACCATCTCAACAGAGGGTACTATCATTGTTTAAGTGTTACAATAAAAGGCGTCAATAAGTTTCAAAGTTTGTGGTTTATTCATTAAGTTCCTTAGTTTCAATATACTGTTTAATTCCTACCATAAGGCTACCTAGTGTAATGAAGACATTTTAGAAGGGTTGGAAGATTTTTAGACGTGGTAAATTTAATTTCTCAAACTCTTAAGTACATAAGTTAATTTGTAATGTAATACTAAATGTATAATATTTTTTGCCAATATATAATAATTTGTTAATACATAATATATCTGTATTGGCCTTTTTCAACTTTTAAATTTAGTATTGCATTACAATAAATTGTCAATATCTGCAAAATTAAATAATTTGTTTTACTAAATTGTACAGGAAATGCTTTTTTTTTTTAGGACGAAGGCAATAATAAACAAACAAATACGCCTGTTATTTTCTAAAAATAAATTTTCGAATATTGGAACTGTTGACAAGACAACAAGGAATTCTACAGCCACCGGCGTGCGCTGAGGCGGAAAATTTCTTTGACCTAGAAACTGGCGTTTTAATTACGAGAAATAAATAAGTTTCCTTGAAATAAGAA